CCTCTGCACACCTGATCCTGGGGAACATAATTCCACTCCCCGCTTATTGCCTTGCCAAACCCTGTTTGTCCCGAGGCAAGTCTGGAGGCCAACAGTGGAGTCCCTTGCCAGGGTCAGTGCCCATGCTGCCCTCCCTCCTAGCCCTTACCTTGCAAATGGCACCCACCGTGGCCCTGTCTTCTGAGGCTGTCTTCCTGACCAGGCCCCTGCTGTCCCAGAGGCAGGGCATTGGCCAGCTGCTCAGGGAACAGCTCTGCCTTCCCCAGACCGCACTGCAGTCCCTTCTGCTCACCACTAGCCCTGTCCACTGGGACCCAGGCAGGGGCCAGAGGGGCATGGCCGGGCAGCACGTTCTGCTTGTGGGCAGCACTGCTCCCCCACAACACTGCCCTTGGGAAGGAAGAGGCCCTACAGACATTCAGTCTCCTCCATGGAGCATGCTGGGAGGCACGCACTCCGCCCCACCGGCTGCCCTCTGCACACCTGGTCTGGCCTCCCCAGCCCATGCCCACCGGGGGGAAGGGGAGCAGGACCCAGGGCAGTGCACAAAGGGGCCCTAAAGGGGCCCTACCTGAGAAGGACCTTGACCTAGTCATTCTGCCCTCTGCTGCCAACATCTTGGCAGGGGGCGCTCTGGCCCTCAGGCACGCACCTGCCAAGCAGGAAGCCACTGGCAAAAATCCCTCAAAGGTGGGGCCCCGCCTCTGTCCTAGCTCTCAGGACTGCAGGGCACCTCCAAGGAGTGGAGTGGGGGTGGCACAGGCCTCCACGGCAACACCTGAGCCTTCATCCAAGCTCTTTTCCGGAGCCTGCGTGCCACCGCTTGGGTTGTGGCAGGGAGGGGGAGGCAGGTGGAATCTGTTCCTCCCTTGCTGGCCTTGTGGTGAGAGGTGCTGACGAGTGGAGGCAGGCCCGCGGCGCCATCAGAAAGGCCTGCGTAAGGCACTCCCTACAGGAAGCACGAGAGAGGGCTGGAGAAGAATCTAAAGATCTAGAAGAATGTGGCAGTTAAAGGGAATTTCTTCCCACACACTGTAACCCAAGACTGTTCCTAAAAAACGCTGTTCTTTGGGAAAACTTGGGAAGCACCGGTTTATGAGACTGTTAGGAGCTGGTTGTGAATGTGGCTTTCCCGAACACACGCCCCCGTGAATTTAACAAGCCGGGCCAAAGGACGATGCTGCAGCCCACACAGCTGAGCCCGACTGGCCTGGCCGGGATGGTGCAGCAAGGCGCGCCGCCTTTAAGCAGACCAGTAGACGTATGTCCATTCACAAAAACAGAAGAGAGTAAAGTGAAAGGCGTTAGGAAGAAATTGTAAGGCACTGGCGTGGCTAATGCAGGCGCTGCAAATCCCTGGGAGCCCAGCTTCAAAGGCGGAGCCCTCTGTGTGACAGCACGGCCACTGTCTGTGACCGAATTACAGAAATGTTACACTCAGGCTTGCTGTGTGGGCAGCACGGGGATCTACAGGGGCCTGAAGAGACAGCTGAGCTCCAGCGCCGACTGCCTCGAACTTCCTCTGCGGCTTGGCTGAGTCACTGACTCTCCCGGGACTGCAGCTCTCCGAGGCCCAGGACCCGGGAGTTCCTTTCAGCTCGGCGGCACAGAACCTCGCCAGGTGTCTGTTCTTCCATTCAACCAAGTTTAGGTGAGCATCTGCTGTGTGCCCAGCCTCGGTTTCCTGCCATGGAGAGCTCAGGCGTCCAGGCTGGCAGAGAGGTGACTCCACGGGGACAGAGAGGGCAGAGGGCCCCCCACTACTACCGGGCAGCCAAGCCTGGGCAGGGCACCTTCCTAGAGCTAGATATACCTCCATCAGTGAGAAAAACTAGATCCAGCGTGCACTGTCAGCCGATCCCGGAGTCACGCCGCCCGATAGAGCGGAGGAGCCGGTCTCAGTGTGCACAGGACAGCAGTTCTTGAAGTCTGTGAAGACAGGAGGGACCAAAGGTGGACAGTCGCTGGCTGTCACGCTCAGGAACTGAGAAAGACTGGAAAACGGCAAGCACACTCTGGCGACCCCTGGCGGGGTTTTGGCCTCCAGCCCCCATCCCCTATCCAATTCTGAGAACAGAGGCACCCCCGCCAAAGTTGAGAGGAGGCATGTGGCCCTCGTGCAGCTGTGGTGGGAGCCCCTTACTCCTGGTGGGGGCCAGGGTAGGCTGTGGGGTCAGTTGCACCCACCCCTGGCCCGGCCTGGCCCCTGGCTGATTCAGAGGTGGGGGAGGGAGGCTGCTTGGTTCTCCCTTCCTTTCATGAAATGACTATTCTCTTCCTCTCCCTCTCTCTCTCTCTTAAAGATTTATTTACTTATTTGAAAGGCAGAGTTACAGAGAGGCAGAGGTAGAGAGAGGTCTTCCATCTGCTGGTTCACTCCCCAAATGGCTACAACAGCCAGAGCTGCGCTGATCCAAAGCCAGGAGCCAGGAGCTTTTTCCAGGTCTCCCATGCTGGTGCAGGGGCCCAAGGACTTGGGCCATCTTCTACTGCTTTCCCAAGGCCTTAGCAGAGAGCTGGATAGGAAGTGGAGCAGCCGAACTCAAACTGGCGCCCATATGGGATACCGCCGCTGCAGTTGGTGGCTTTACCTGCTACGCCACAGTGCCGGCCCCGACTATTCTCTTATCTGCTAGCCTCTGTGGCATAAATCCGGGGGAAGGTGATCTTTCCCGATTTCTGACATTGTGGATGATTTCTTCAGGCATTTCTGCCTGCTGTATTTCTTCAAGAGAGTAACGGCGATTGTATCTGCAGGAACTGTTGTTCCAGAGCATTGCTCCTGCCTTAGCGCCTTGCCCCGGCCTCTAAGACGCGGCGTTTCTGGGCATTTGGAAGACAGGAGGGAAGACCGCATTTTCCTTATCTCCACATTGCCTTAACGTGGAATTTGTGCAGGCAAATGCTCGCAGACAAGCTGTAAGGACCCGTCACAGCCTTGAGTATCTCAGTTAGTGTTAAAGGCATACACTCTGATTTTTTATTTTATTGTAAGTACAAACAGTACACATTCAGCGAAACTCAAGCAACAAAAGAGTAAAAAGTCAAAAGCAGAAGACCGCCGCCGCCACACCCACTCCCCAGGTACCCGTGGCGGCTTTGCCGTTAGACACTGAGACTCCCGTTCAGCAGGCACGGGATTGTGCCAGTACCTCGCGCAGCAGCCCTCCGGGCACCCTTCCCCCCCACACACAGACTGCGCGACCTCCCTCTGCCCACAGCCACAGACCTGGCACTGCATGGGGCTTCTGCTGATGCACGTCTTGGTGGCTTCCAATATCTGGCCGTTAGAAAAGCTGCTCCCTTGCAAATATCTCTGAGCCTTCGTGCAACTAATTACCTCGGACTCCTGGGCCTGCTTTGTGGGACCAAGTGAATGCAGATTTTGAAGTTTTGATCAAGACTGTACACTTGTTCTCTGCATAGTCTGCATCAGCTCATTCTCCCGCCTCATTTTCCCCCAGCTGATAAGGGGCTGGTCTACATCTTCTGTCTTAGTTTGCATTCCTTGGATCATTAGTGAGGTGGAGCAGAAGTGGGTTACTTATAAATGAGTTAATTCACAACATTATGTTGTGATACCAAAACAAAGATTACAGAGTTGGCCACTAACTGAAGTATCATGTTGAATGTCACGGTGCCCGGCCCTGTGCAGGTCCATCCCAAGGTGTATGTTTAGCTTGAAACCTTCGCACAGGAGGTGAGGTCACGGGTCTGGGAGATGAAGCCGCCGCTCACTGGTGAGTGGATGAGGATGAGCAACACAGTCACTCCGGGCAGAGGAGAAAATAAAGTTCACGAAGCTCACAAGATGAGTAGTTGCTTTGCCAGGAGCTTTATTCGTGTAATTCCCATAAGCTCATGAGGCAGGTGAAGTCATCTCCATTTTATGGATGAGAAAATTGAGGTTCAATTGGTTAAATAACATAATGGTGGCACTGGGATGTGGGCTCAAGACAGGAAGCAGAACCTGGGCATTTACCTAAACAACTGCTTCTGTAGAAGAAAAACCTCAGAAAAGGTTTTTAAAATATGTGTAACCTAGAGCCACCTCAGCGTGAGAGGCTGGGAGGATGGCAAGCCAGGAGAAGTCCCCGCTTCCCACCGCTCAGCAGCAGTGGCAGGGGGAGCTGGCCAGTGCCTGGGGCAGCCACGCCATGGGTTCTGGGGCCAGCATGTGCCAGGCTGATGCTGACAGCCACGGGGAGAGAGCCTTCAAGGAAAATGGTGGGCGATCGTGGGCGGAGATGAGCAGCAGCATGGACACCCACAACTGGACGCTGGGAGAAGAAAAGGAGCCGGCGAAGGTCAGGGAGGGAGAGCGCCATGGGACCTGGGGAGCCCGGCAAACGCCCCTGCTCCTGACTGGGGATGAAAGGGGGGTGGTGCGGGAAAGGAAGCTGTTGGTGGCGGCCGGCTCTGTGCCCTGCCGACCCAGGCAGCGGGCACAGCAGGACCAGCCCGGACCCCAGCCAGGGGAGCTCAGCCCAGCTGCGGCCAGCGCCCCCTCCCCACCCCCGTCCGCCCCAGGTCTGCATTCTGCAGCTCGGAGACTCGGCCCCCACCTCCGGGGGCTGAGCCCCGGAGGACCGGTTCTGGCTCGAGGGTGGGGCCGACGGGGGCGAGGCTCGCCCGCAGCCGCCACGCAGCCCTTCCTCCCCCTCCCCCTCAGGAAAGGAAGGCAGAGGAAAAACGTGTTTTTATAAATAGCTCCAGCCCCAGCTGATTTGTAAATTCAGTGGGGTTTTTTTGTGTGTGTCAATGACATCACCCTCCTCCCCAAGGGCAACTTTTGACGGTATCAAAAATTTCCAAGCAAGCAACGTGGGAGCGGCATCATCAATATGAGCCAGTGACTACGGGGTTCGCAGAGCAGTCGCAGACGGCGCCGGGGCGCGGCGGGGGAGGGGGCGCACGACCGGGGCGGCCGGGCCCTGCGGCCCCAGCGGTGCGGAGCGGCCGAGCCGCCTGCGGGCCGGGGCCGGCGCCCGCGCCGCGCTCCCCGCGCCAGCGCCGCGCTCGGCGGCAAGGCAGGCGGGCGGGCGGGCCCCGCTCCCTTCCGGACGCGCCGGAGCCGCGAGCAGCCATCCAGGTGGCGGAGCCGGCCCACCGCCACTGAGTCACCCGCCCGCCCGAGCTCCCTGCCTGCCCTTCGCCATTGGATTATTTCGGAAGCCCGAAAACTTGGAGCTGCACCTGAGTCCCGCCCCTTCCAGCCCTCCCCTCCCTACCTTGGGCTCGGAGGAAGATGGGGCTCGCGGTGGGTCTGCCGTCACCCCCTACGGATACGGAGGCCGCGGCGGGGGCCGGGCGTGCCTGCGGGGAGCTGCAGATATGGTGACCAGGCTGCCGCTGTCCCCCGGAGGTGTGGGGACAGAAGGGGAGTCTCGTCCCTCCCAGCTGCCTGGAGGCCGGCCCGGCTGGCTTTGAACTCTCCCTCCCCCCGCCCCCCGCCCGCCCGCTACCCCACCCCCCCGGGGGTGTTGCTGGGAAGGAGTGGCTTCTAGGGTCCCCGTGGCATTTGGAGAGCGAGGCTGCATTGGCTTAGGCCGGGCAGGTAGGTGGCTGCGCAGGGCGGGCGTGGGCCCACGTGTGTGCGGGTGTGAGGGTGTGTGCACCGGCCCCCTGCTGAGGACTGCAGCTGCCTGTGGCCGGGCTGCGGGTGGCCACTTGACAGCGGTTCTCCTAACTGGTGCTGGGGCGCTGTCCGGGAGGGGTGCTGGGGACAGAGGAGACCACCCGGCACATGGCCTGAGCCCTGGGCCCAGCAGCTGCCAGGGTGGGCTGGCGCAGATCCTCCCTGGGTCCACTGGACAGAGACACAGCCCGATGCCAAGGTAGGGAGTGGTCTAGAGGGGCTGGCCAAGGTGGGAGCCAACCAGCCAAGGGCATCAGCTGCCCCCTCTTCCTGAAAACCGTTTCCTACCAAGAATCACTTCTGCGGGGCCGGGCAGCACCCATGAGCTCACCGCTCGGCGACAAGGGTGCTGGGGTGCTGGTCACTGCTCCACTCTGCATAGTTGGGGCCCAGTCCAGGCTGCCCCAGGGCCTGGCCCCACAGGGCATGCCCCAGTGTGGCAGGCAGAGGGGCGTGGGCTCCCTGCCAGCCACCCCCCACCCCACCTCCCCCACACAGCTGGCAGCCTCGCGGGCACACCGGTGAGTAAGCTGCCAGGGGAGGAGGCTGTGTGCCCACAGAGGCAGGACCCACCAGTCAGGAGCCTGGGGAGAAGCGGCTGGGCTGGGCGAGAAAAGCACTGAGCTTTTCTTTTCTTTTCCTTTTCTGCCTGAAGGGAGAGGCGCTTCCTGGGCTAGGAACAAGCACCAGCCTGCAGTGGGAGAGCGCCGGGCGCAGCGGCCCTGGGGGAGCAGCCCAGGTAAGGTCCCTGCCCCTACCACCGCTGTCCCCTCCTGGGCCACAGAGCCCAACCCTGCGCTCCTCTTGAGTCTGGGGGTTCCTGTGCTACCAAGCCCCATGCCCCAGCTGATCCCAGCAGGCCCCGGGGCCCCAGGTCAGAGGGAGATCATGCTCACTTCTGCTGTTCCTGCATTGGCTTCTGGGGCCTGCTGGGTCAAGCCAGGGCCACCAGGGCTCCCCTCCTGGAGGCCCCTCTCACCTCAGCCCCTCGGGGCCATTCCCTGCATGGATTCATTCCACAAATATTCATGCAGCATTGCTGGGTTCCAGGCACTGAGTCACACCCTTTGGGTGAGCTTGACTTGGCACAGATGCTGACTCTGAAACTTGGCAGCAGGCCAGGGTCAGGGGCCACCTGGCTGACTGTTCCTCAGGGGCCCCGGGCTCCCTGATCTGCTGCAGGGTTCCTGACCTGGGCAGCTGTGGGGACTCTGGGCCAATGCAGTGCCCTGGCGTCGACCACCAGCACCAGAGGTGTGTGCATGTCTGCTTGGGGTCTCACCTGAGGCTTTGTTCTGTGGAAACTGGGCTCTGGGAGTATTGGACAGTGGGGGCTGCCTGGCCCTCGGAGCCTGTTAGACCCAGCACTTGGCCCTGTAGAAGCTCATCTAGTGGCCATTGAGGCCTTTGGGGGGCCTCCTCCCGTTAGGGGGCAGTAGCCCTGGTGCCCGGCTCAGAGGTGGCAAACTAGAGCCTTGGATGACAAGGGCGCCAGCGCAGGGGGTGGGTGGCACTGGGAACCGTGGATGTGGATGGAAGCTCTGTGCACTGGGGAGGGGCCATTGGGAGGGAGCCTGGGGACTGCAGGTCCCGTCTGGTCCCCTGGGGGCCAGACTGAGTCTTTGTGAGTTGTCTGGGACATACGAGGCACAGGAAAGGTGCAGGTGGTGGGGTCCCCAGCCAAGGCAAAATCCAGTCTGCACAGCTCTGAATGACCAAGAGTGTCCTGGCAGAGTACATGGGACCAGGGTCCGAGTCTCCCCAGGCGAATCAGTGAATTCCCACACCTGGCTCCAGCTGTGGGTGCTGCCTGCCTCCTTGGCGAAGGCCTGGGAGTTCTCGGTGTGCAGAGCAGAGAAGCGTCCACCGCCCAGCTGCTAGGCCGAGTGACGGAGGCTGTAGGTGGCCGCTGCCTGGGCCTGCAGGGGGCGGGGGCAGAGGGCAGGGGGCAGGGCCTAGGGGCAGGAGAGGAAAAGGCCGCCTTGGGGTTTCTAGAGGACTCTGGAGGAAGGGCTTGGGACAGGTGCTGCCTCTGGGAACTGCTCTGCACAGGGGACTGGGCCCTGGCAGGCGGGGAAGGGGCTGGCTAGCTGAAGCAGCGCCACTCACCCGGGCGGCCCAGAGACTCCACCAGTGCACTGAGTCCCGGTGCAGAGGGCATGGGAGGCTGGCTGTGGCCCGAGGCCGAGGGCTCTCCCCAGCATGCCCTTCCAGGAGGATGCCCTCCACACCATCGCCAGCGGTTGGGGGGCCCTGGAGTCAGGAGCCATTCCTAAGGCTTGGGGCATAGGAAGGAGGTCATCGGATCTCAGAAATGGGCTTCTTGCAGCCTGCCCCTAGGGGGCTTGGAGAACGGAGCTCATGTCTGCGAGCCTGCTGAGAGCAAGTAGGGAGCAGCCTGCACCGTTCAAAACTGGAAACCCCTGAGGCAGCGAGAGAAGCCCTCCCCAGGCCTCGAAGCCCAGGGCCAGCAGTCTGACGGGTCCAGGGAAGCTGCCCCTTTCTGCAGAGCCTGCAGGCCGAGGTGAGCGGCGCGAGGCATGCGAGACAGGGTGTCTTGTCTTTCCCTGGTGGCTTCATCCCCTTCCTGCTGACATACACGAATCCCTGAGACCCGGCAATTGCTAGTAGACGGTAGTCACTAGCTCTAGCAACTAGTAGTCATGGTTCTAGAGGCCGGGCAGTGCGGGCTGGGGGGGTGGGGGGCTGCTCTGTGGGCCTCTGCGTGGCACATCCCGTGGCAGGAGGCAGAAGGGCTGGAGAGAGCCAGAGAGCCAGAGAGCCGGAGGGCCAACCCCTGTGATGGTGAGGACTCTGCCCTGGTGACCCAAACCCTGCCCTCCACACAGGTAAACCCTAGCACCCGGCAAGGCGGGGGTCCAGGCACTGTGTGGTTCTGGCCCGTTGGCTTGCAGGCAGGAGCCGTGACTGCCTGACTGCTGAGCACACAGCAGTGGAGGCGGGGGTGGGGGAAGGCGCCGACAAATAAGCAGGACGTAGCTCCTGCCGGGGGAAGCCTGCGGCCCACGGAGGCCTGGGATGGGACACTGAGCGTGGGCCCAGCCGCAGAGACGTGGCCAGCAACCTGGTGACCTCATCCTCTTGCCCACACCGGGCCCCCGGTGACCCGTCCAGTCCAGATGATTTATAGATCCAGACCGATACCAGGAAACGGGGCTGAACTGTCTAAAGATGGGCACAAAGAGACGGGTGGAGAATGAAAAATGAAGGCAGCAGCAGCTTCTCGCTTCCGTTCGAGGCAGGAGATGAACGCTCAGGGGGACAGGACAGCGCGGATGGGGGCACAGCACAGTCAGCAGGGTGAGCCTCGGGCCCAGCCTCACACAAGTTCCGTCACGTCCGTTCCTGTCCACGGAGGCTGTTACAGTACCCCTGGGAGAGGGTTGTGGAGAGGGCCGAATGAAACCATATGGCAGTGCTGCTAGGATCACTGCGAGAGCAGAGTGCCAGGAGCGATAATGGCCACCGCTTGTTTAGGGGAATCAGGGAAGGCTTCGTGGAGGAAGTGGCTTTGAAAGAGCCTTGCCCACATACAAACACACACACACACCAAGAGAGCCAAGGCTCCTATGGCCAATCCACCTGTACCCAATAAAGCTGGGGGAAAGGTGACACGAATCCAATCGAGTCTCCCGGAGGTCCACTAAGGAATTCCTTGGGGCTGTTTGCAAGTTCTCTCTCCTTCCCAGAGCTAGAGTTTGAGGTCTTGAGGACCCAAGGGAGCTGCACCTAGCAGGCCCTGTCCCCTCCTCTTTGGGCCTGGAACCTCTTGCCACATGGTGGCCCCAGCTCCTTAAGGAACTGCAAACAAATAAACCCCAGGAAAGCGCAAAGCTTGGAGGTACTGTGCGCAGGGGGCCGGCTGGAGACCCCCGTGGGTGGCTTGGAAATGCCTGCTCACAGAGAACTTTTGCTTTTCCTATCAAAGGCTTAGCTGTCTTACGAATTTAGAAAAGAAAATCCCAAGTTTCTAGTCCCCTAAAGAAGCAAGACAAGCCCAGAGCGTGAGGGGCTTCCACACGCTGGGGGAACGAGCGTGTGGCACACGGCTTCCCACGGCCACAGGAGAGGCCACATCGGCCTCGGCCCCAGCAAGGGGACCCCGTGCTGGCCAGCGTTCTCCGAAAGCCTCACCATGACCCCTCAGGCCGAGAAGGGACCCAGGAGGTAGAGAGGGACAATGGTGTCCTTTCTTTGTACACCGTGGGCTCTCCGGGGCATCCTGTCCCCCTGAGGCACTGCCTCTGTCAGCAGACCCTGGCATCCGCCTGCCCGGCGACAGCTGCCCTGGGCCTCTGGCTTAAACGGGGTGGGAGGCGGGCCGGGTCCTTCGTCCAGGACCAGGAGAGGGGTTCTGGATGCTCAAAGAAGCAGGTGAGAAGGCTGAGGCTGTGCTGCACTGCCCTGGTCTCTGACCCCAGGGCAAACAGCTGCGAACCCGTCTCCCCTGCTTTCCGGGCTCTGAGGGTGCAAACCGGGAAGACTGGTTCTGTGCTTCAGCTTCCCCGCCAGGGCACCTCCAGCCTCCATTTTCTGCATCTCAGCTCCTGTGAGGCTCCACAGGGAGCAGGGGAGGGAGCCCGGAGACCACTTACCCCAGCACCTCCCTGCGGCATTGGAGGTCAGCGGTAGGAGCCCCAGGGAGTGCAGGGCTGGTCCAGGAAGGAGCTGGCCCCCTCGGATCGCTCTGCACAGGAGCCAGAGGACGCCCCTCTGAAGGTAGAACCCAACCCCCACGGTGGTCTAGAGGGAAACCAACGGCCAGAGGAGGAAAACGGGTCCCAAGATGACCCAGCTACCTGGCAGCAGTAGTAGACGCAGTGTCAGGCCTGGGGTCCCCGACTCCCTGTCCAGTGCTCTCTTGCTGCCCAACAGCTGCATCAGAGGCCAGAGCCAGCGAAGGGCCAGCTTGATGGCTGCCTAGAGGCAGCCTGACCTGACACACTGGGACGCTGGACAGTTGGTCGTCGTCCTCTGTGCCTCCTGGAGGTGGGCCCAGCCATCCGCCCTGCCTCCTGCTCAGCCCCCGGCTGGTCCCCCAGGGAAGACCCGGGCCACTGTCACACAAATAGAGCACACTCGTTCGTAAAGGAATTGACTCTGGTTTCGTCTGGCCCAGGGAGCATCTTCCATTTTGACCAGAAGCACCTTAATGTCTTGAGCCTAAGAAGGAAGCCATGAGGAGCGGGCCTGGAGATGCAAGATGCTGGGCCGAGGGGAGCGGGGTGCTCTCCTGACCCCGGGCCACCACCAGGAGCGAGAGGCCTGTCACCTGCCACCCAGCCTGGCCTGGGCCAGAAGACGCTCCCATTGCACTCAAGTGTACCTTGCTGGACAGCCGTGTGTCTGGGGTGCAGGTGCAGAGAGGTGTGACGAGGTGGAGGCTTCAGCCCTTGGGGGCAAGGATGCAAGGCCAGGACAGGAGGAGGTGCTGGCTCTGGGGCATCCATCACCTTGTGTGACCAGGCCCCACATGAACGTCCAGCAGGCTGGCGGTGCTCAGAAGTTCTGTCAGTGTGTGCCACGGGGAAGGAAAGAGCAGGAGGAGAGATGGCCGCACAGCAAGGGGCAGCTGTGTGCAGTGAGCCAGGTCGGCCCACCCAGGGCAGTCCCAGAGTGCTCAGGCTTCCCAGGAGGCCACACTGCCCATAGCCTGTGTCCTTCGTGCGTTGAGGGCTGAGGGAAGGGCTTGGGCAGCCAACATGGCACCTCCTCCCACCTGCTTTCTTTTGGTAAATCCCCAAACCCGGTCCACCTGTCCACGGACGGAGAGCCAGTCACTGACCCCAGGGTGCTGGAGGCTGTCGCTTACCTCCCGGCCCCCCCGCACAGCCAGGAGTGAAGTCCTTATACACTGATCCTGGGGCTGAGAGGTGTGTGCTCAGCTCCCGTGCAGGCTCGTGGCCCTCCTGGGAGAGTGTTCTTTGGGGAGTTTTAGTGATGGCCCCGTGGGCTGCCGTCAGTCAGCTGGCAGTGACTGTCCCAGGCTTGGGTTCCTGGAAAAACCGTTGAGACTGAACATCAAGATGTTCTAGATAAATGACCTCCTGAGTCTGATCGAGGACCCTGTGGGGCGGACTGCAGCGCCCCCCTCTGGTCAGTGAGGGGATTTTACTAAGAGGTTGATGTGCAAACTTTAACTTCCCTCCCTTAATACTCCTTCCCTTGAGGGAGAGGAGACCTTGAGAGATTCAGGCCTGATAGCAGCTCCTTCTGCATCAAAGTCCCAACACAGGGGCTCAGTTTCACTTCCCTGGGGCTTGGGCCTGGGCCCTTGCCTGGCCACGCACAGGCCTTCTGCTCGCCTGGCCCTAGATTCCACGGCAGGGGTGCCACAGTCGCAGCCCTGCCCCAGCCAACTCTCGGAGGCCCAGAAGAGAGAAGAAAGGCTAGGAAAAGCTTCCATTCAAGGGGAATTGCAGCTGTTGGTTCTGCCAGCTCCGGAGCTGCACTGCAGAGAACTCTGATGGAATGCGGGGGCCATTAAGAGCAGGAGCTGCAAGAGCAGTGGTAGCGGGAGATACTGAACGAATCTGTCATGTCTCTAGAGCGAGTGTCCCCAGCGCCGAGGTGGCACTCGCTGGGCCCACAGGAGCTTGGCACAGACCCCCAGGTGCCTGGGAAGGGTGCTGCAGTCGCAGCCCGCAGCCCGCAGCCCGCCACACTCCCTGCAGCCCAGTCCCATCGGGCCGCTGTCAGTTGGTGTCCAGGGAGGCCAGTCCCGTGTATTCCCATCGGGCTAGGAAGCAGAGACAGAGGCAGAGGCAGACCTGGGAGAAAGGCTGGCGGTGCTGGGAGTGCTGGTTTCCCTCTGCTGAGGTCCACGATCTGTCTGTTCAGGAGCCAGGCGGGGGCCTCTGCAGCTGGCCCCACCTGTCTCCCTCCTGGCTGAGGACTCCCTCAGCCCGGAGGTTTGCCCTGCTCCTGGGCCCCATCAGCAGAGATGGGTGGTCCCAGCAAAGTGAGGGGCATGGCCCAGGCCAGCCCAGGAGCAGGAGAGGACAGTGTTTGGCAGCCTAGGAGAGGGGGACGGAAGGGGCCTTTTCCGCAGAGTTCTTTGCTCCTGGGGCTGGGGGCTCCAACGTGAGTGGGCAGCAAGCCCTCTGGGATCCCAGCCCCATGGGCTGCTCCTGCTGAGTGGGGAGCAGGTGCATGGGTCCCTGCACGTGGGCCTGGTGTCTTTGGGAACCATCGGTGGCCTGAGGCAGGAACATCAGGCCTGCACCTGCTTCCTAGCAGGGGACTAAGTGAGAGAGACAGTGAGGAAGGGACCTCTCTCTCCTTCCCTCCCAGTGCCATGTGGCGGGCCTCGTGCCAGTCAGCAGTGGGCGGGGGGCATCCTCCCCTGCCTCTCCATACCTCACGTGACCCACCTAGCTGGGCAGTGGTCTGAGCTGACCCCTCCCACCCACCGTTCGGACAGCTCTCACAATGAGGGACCTCTGAGTGCACGGTTAAGCTGGGTCAGACAGGCTAGGGCTCAACTGCTGGTTCTTGCATTCACTACCTGGCTTATTCTGTTCCGAGAACCATAGACTGGGCAGCTTGGAAACAACAGAAACGCATTTCTCAGGGCTGAAGAAGCAGAGAAGCTCAGGATCAAGGTGCCAGCAGACCTCGTGTCTGCCGAGGGCGGCTTGCCAGCTCACTGGGGTGCTGCCTTTCTCCGTAACCCCACAAGGCAAGAGGGGTCGGGGATCTCTCTGGGACCTCTTGTGGGGGCACCAGTCCCACTCCTGGGGGCTCTGTCTTCATGACCCCGTCACACACACCCCCAAAAGCCCACTGCCCAACATGTTCGCACTGGTGATCAGATTTCAACCTTCGGATCCGGTAGGGGGCCCTTAAGCTAGTCACCACTCTGAGGCTGTCTCCCTGTTTGTAAAGTGAGAATATTAGTGTGCTGCTCACCTGCCCGGGTCGCTGTGAAGGTGCAGGTACCATGTGCAAACAGCCCAGCGCTAGAAGCATGTGGTGTTGGGAGAGCTCGTTATCACTGCTATTAGAGGAGGGCGCAGGCCTCCCAGCGAGGGCCCTGGAAGGAGGTGAGCTTGCTCGCAGCCTCCCTGATCCCTGGGACCTGTCTCAAGTCACAGCGGCGGCGCAGAAGGGTGTGGAGATAGGAGAACGTGTTTGCATTCCTCAGCTGCGGAGCAATCCTCTCTTTCCTCCTTGGCCCTCACCTGGGCTCCCAGCGCTGGCTGTTGTTGCAACAGGACTGGCTGAGAGACAACCAGGAAGTGCCCGCCCTAACGCCCTCCCAGACCATCCTGGGTGGCCAATGCCCAGGCCTGGCAGGAACCCAGAGTTCTTTCCTGTGATGAAATGTCTGTTCTCAGTGCCTTGTCCACACCTCCTGCCCAGCTGGTAGAGGGGCAGTGCCTGGACCGCTCCCTCAACCAGCAGGCCTCTGCCAGTGGCCACGGCTCTTCAAAGGAGGGCGTGCCTGGTGCTCGTCCTGGGCTCAGCGCCAGAGGGAGGCGCAGGGGTGCTGCCATTGTGCTGGCCTCCTGGCACTTCCTGCACTGTCGCTGTGCCCTCTCCTGGGTAGGGCTGAGCTGGACATGGGTCCGAGACTAGAGAAGGCGAGGGGTCACACCCCAAAGTTAATCACTTGGGAGCTATTCTGTGTGTCCCAGCCATCCCACTGGCAGGGGTCATCCAGCCCCCATGCAACTGAACCCTGTGCAGACTAGACTGGAGGTGCAGAAACAGCTTTGTGATGGACCCGAGAGGTCACCTCGTCTCATCTTCTATCTGATGGGAACTTTTTCTCTGGCATATCTAATAGTTTTTTTAATTTATTTATTTGGGAGGCAGAGAGAAACAGACATACACATAGCTCTTATCTGTTGGTTCATTCCCCAAATGCCTGCAGTAGCCAGGATTGGGCTGAGCTGAAGCCTAGAGCTGGGAGCTCTATTCCGCCCTCCCACACAGCGGCAAGAACCCAATCCTCTGAGCCATACTCTGCCTCCCAGAGTCTGAATTAGCAGGAAGTTCAGAGCCAGAGAATCAGGCGTTGAACCCAGGCATCTTGACTGCTGTGTTAACCACTAGGCTAAAAGGCTGCCCCCAGTGGATATTCTCGAATATCAGCGTTGGGGAATTCATTAACTCCTTGGTCAGTCTCGCTTAGAAGCCTCTTCCTGTCTCACGCCAAACCCCATTGCAGCTGCCAGGGTGAGAGGAGGCCTGGCTTCCTGTATTTACTCCCTATAGGTTGAGGATGGGACTTGGCCAAGCCATCATGGAATACCCAAGCCTGGATTCGCATCACGTCTCACAGTATTCTGATATCCACACTTCATCATAGTTCAACGGTTCAAAAGGGCTGCTTGGACCTGTGGTTTTATTATTGAAGTCATGTGTATTTAATGGAGATAATTCACATGCACATTTGTGAATCAGCAAAAAAAAACAATTCAGGGTGTTGATTCTAGGTTCAATGACATAACACATTTCATTCTAGCTTGGTTCCTTGCTCATTTCCCCCTTGGTCTCCCTCACCCCACAGCACAACCTGCTTCCCATAGCCTTCATCCGTGCACCTGTGTCCCTGAGTAATTAATCCAAGAGGAAAGCCACACTGTATGACCTGTGCCCGTCCACTTCTTGTAGCCACAGGAGGTCAGGGTTTGGGGATAGGGTCAAGCCTACGGTGGTGTTAGGTCAGCAGGAAAGTGAAAGGATGGTTTGGCAAAGACACACAGAGGAGGAGGGAGGGGCAGAGGAGGTAGAGAACAGAGACAGCAAGTGTATGGGCTGCAGGGATGGCAAGAGGACCCTGTGTTCCCCGGCTTCTAGCCACCCTCCCACGGCACACAGGGCCAGTGTCACCACTTGGCACCGTGCCTTCCCCAGGGAAGATGAGGGCATCCGGCTTATGGTGCAGCCAGGCAGGGTGCAGTCCTGACGGGGCTGGGGAGTTCCCTCGTGTCACCTTAGCTGTGTCGTGGGAGCCCTGGTGTAGACTGCGCAGGCGCCGTGGAGTCCAGGAGGCGAGTGACGTCACCTTCAGTAGCCCTGATGTGTCTAAAGAAGTGACCAATGTGGCCATGTGGCAATGGTGGCCTCAATTAATAACTGAAGTTTGTGGTCCCCAATAGTAATAGGCACTGGACTGTGACTCTGGCTGTTGCCACTCGAGGGCAGCCGCGGGGACCCCAAAACGTCCTGAATTTCCAAGCCAGCACAGAGCCCTCAAAGTCAGCAAGGGTCTTCTCACTTCCTTGTTAGGGGAAGAGACAGACAAGAGGCCCCTGCCCCTGCCCCTCAGAATGGCCATGCTAGGGCCCAGCTCGGAGATGCCAGTTCTGGAACAAAAATACAGGTGGGGGCGGGGACCGTGGGGGCTCCAACTTGCCCCATTGTCAGTTTGGGGCACCGATGCCTTGTAAGCTGCCTCCCTGAGGACCACTATCCTCAAAACCTGAGGCTAGAGGACTCAGCAAAGTGTGGCAAGGGAATTGGAATCCCTGAAATCCTGATTTCCTGCCTGCAGAGGAGGGCAGTCCCAGGACAGCCAGGGGCCTTGCCCGGCGGGGGCAGACAGGTCACACTGCAGGTTTTAGGACTGAAGCCGGGCTCTCCAGGATGTGTGGGTGGAAACGCAGCCTCTCCGAGGTCGGGAAGAGTCGGCCCGCGGCTTCCAAGCGTGCATCTGCAATGCAAAGCAATGAGTTAATTACACACCACCCGCGCTCCACAGATCCTGCAGGTCTGTGTCCGCGCAGCTCATCCGGGCGCGGCGGGGTCAGTACCCGGAGGCGAAGGGCGGGCGGGCGGGAGCTGGAGCCGAGCGAATGCAGGAAGGAGTGGGGCCCCGGCCCCGGCGACTCTTCCTGGGCCCTGAGCTCGCTGAATCTACCTGAGGCCACGCCCTAAAATCCAACTGGCGGCCAGGTGCGGCCGGCGCGGCCCAAACAGGTAAGCAGGGCACCTCCTCTTCTTTCCCGGCCCCGAGCTCCCTCCCGCCTTGGGCGGGCCCGGCTCCCGCGTCCTCTGCGAGCGCCCCTGCGCTTCCCGCTTGGCAAGTGAGTGTCGCCGCCGCCCTGCCAGGCTGGGAGCCATCTCCGGGCGGGGGCCGCGACAAGGGGACAGGCCTCGCCTTGCGCGCCGCCCCCGGACCCGGTTTGCACTCCTGAAGTTCAGGGCTTGCGGCCGGCCGGGCAGCGGCGCTGCGCCCCCACCCCCACCCCGTTCCCGCCTCCGGCTGGGCTCGGCTCGTCTCAGGCACCTGGGACTGTCGCCCGGTCGGTCGGGAGGCGGGGGCGAGGGGTGGTGCCCACTGCGCTGGACTCCAGCCAGCCGCCAAAGCCCGCGGGGACACTCACTGCATCTGCCCCAGTGTGCCTGTGTGTGTTTCCGCGCAGGCTTGCGGAGGACTGGCCCCGCGCCGCTGACTGCCCAAGAGAGCTGCCCACTGCAGGAGCCTGAGGAGCCTCGGAGAGCAGTGAGTGGGTGAGTGAGGGGTCTGCCTTCTCCAGACCTGCTTGACAGACTGTGGGCAGGCAGGTGGCCCCCGGGGCTGGGGCCTCTCTGCCACACTTGGCAGCGGCAGGGGTCCTATTTCCCAGTCCTTAGGGGTGCAGGGTAAGTCACTTGCATCTCAGCCCATGGTGGGTGGGTAGATCTGCATGGCTTCAAACAGATGCTAATATTTTTGTGAATTTTTACTTTTATTGCTTAGAAAGGCAGAGAGAGAGAGAGAGAGAGAGAGAGAGAGAATCTCCCACCTGCCCACTGGTTTACTTCCCAAATGTCTGGGCCAGGCCAAAGTCAAGAGCCCAGAACCCCATCTAGGTCTCCCACGTGGGTATCAGGGGCCCAAGAACTTTGAGCCATCATCTGCTGCCTCCCAGATGCAGCTCGACCCAGAATTGGAGCCCCAGGCACTCCAGGATGGAATGTGGGTATCCCATGCAGCATCGCACCTGCTGCACCAGGTGCCCACCTGTGACCTGTGGTTGTCATCAGGTCTGACACCTGTCTGGGACGAGGCAGTGTCACCAAGGCCAGGTGCACTAGATGCATGCTTGGGGAAGAGGCCTCCCCAGCAGGACGGTGGTAGCAAGCTCAGCCTGAGCTGAACAGGGCTGGAGGCGGCCGCAGAGGTACCTGCTCTGCACGCCGCAGCCTGCCAGCTCACCCCCGAGGTCTCCCACAATGAGTGGCATTCGATCTGGGGTGTAGATGCTGCTATGAACACCAAGGGTAAGATGCGGAGAATTCCCAGGGCAGAGGCTGCATTCGTCTTTTTCTTGTTGTTGTTGCTGTTCTTCTTTTTCATTTACTTATTTCAAAGTCAGAGTTACAGAGAGAGAGAGAGAGACATCTTCCATCTGCTGGTTCACTCCTCCAGGTAACCACAACAGCCAGGGCTGAGCCAAACTGAAGGCAGGAGTCAGGAGCTTCTTCCAGGTCTCCTGCATGGGTGCAGGGGCCCAAACATTTGGGGCATCCTCTGCTGCTTTTCCCAGGCGTGTTAGCAGGGAGCTGGATCAGAAGTGGAACAGCCAGGACATGAACCAGCCAAGGCTGCATTTTCTATATCTTGCCCTTTACAGTGAGAGGGAGAGGCAGAGAGAGAGAGGTCTTCCATCCGCTGGTTCATTCCCCAAATGGCTGCAAAGGCTAGAACTGGGTGGATCTGAAGCCAGGAGCCAGGGACTTCTTCCAGTTCTCCCACTTAGGTGCAACCCCCTCCAAACTTTTTTTAAAGTTGGTTTATTTATTATTTATTGATTTGAATGAGCATCAGAGATGGGGCCAGCATTGTGGTGTAGCAGGTAAAACTGCTGCCTGTAGTGCCGGCATCCCATATGGGTTCGAGTCTTGGCTGCTCCACCTCCGATCCAGCTCTCTGCTATGGCCTGGGAAAGCAGTAGAAGATACCCCAAGTCCTTGGGCTCCTGCATCCATGTGGGAGATCCGGAAGAAGCTCCTGGCTCCTGGCTTTGGATCGGCGCAGCTCTGGCCCTTGTGGTCAAAATAGATAAAGATCTTCCAACTGTTGGTTCACTCCCCAAATGACTGTAATAGCTAGGGTGGGCTGGGCTGAAGCCAGAGAGCCTTGCTGGCCTACACACCTGCTGGTCTCCCACATGAGTGGCAGGGCCAAGCACCTTTTGCCATCATCCACTGTCTTCCCAGTGCATTAGCAGGAAGTGAGATCAGAGTTGGAGCAGCCAGGACTCCAGCTGGCACTGCAGTACAGGAGGTCTGCATTGGAAGGGAGGCCACGATGCCAGTCCCCTCTGCACACTGTTTAGCGTCCTCGTCTGTAAAGTGGGGATGATAATGCCTTCCTCATGGGACACTTGTGAGGCCTAACTGCAGTAGTGAATGTCACGCAGCCCTGGCAGGAACTGCCTTTCCAGCCTCCAGTTGCTAGGACTCCTTTTCGGGAAGACTTTGAGGATGTTCTGGCTTTTTGGCAAGATGCTGCTGGAGGGAGTTAGAGCAAAGCTTTGGTAACAGAGTGAAGGCAGGTCAGTGGATGCACCGTTACTGCAGGCACTGCCTGGGCAGAGGGCACCTGTGGCCTGAGACTTCCAGATCCATCTTGGCTCTAAGTGGCTGTGTGATCTGGGGAGTGCACTTGATTTCTCTGGGCACTGGGCTGGGTGGAGGAGCTTGAAGTCAAAGGGATCTGGTTTTGAATTCCAGTTCCACGTTTACCACCTTGGATGATAGTTTCTCCCTGAGCCTTGGATTTTTATTTTTAAAAAAAATTTGTTTATTTGAAAGACATAGAGGCAAAGAGATTTCCCATTCATGGGTTCAATCCCAAAGAACCAAGAACAAATACCAAGGTCAGGTGCATTGAATGCATGAGACCTAGAACAATGCAAATACCAAGAACAGCTGATGCTGGGCCAGGCCAAAGCCAGGAACCTGGAGTTCAATCCAGATCTCCCAGATGGGTCCTTGAGCCATCACCTGTGTTTTCCCAGTATGTACCTCAGCAGGAAGCTGGAATGGAGGGAGGAGCCAGGACTTGAACTCATGCACTCCACTACTCAGTGTCCTCATCTGTGAAAAGCAGCTCATAATACCCACCACTAACTGTCGGAGACACTGATAAAAGCGCCTGGCACAGTACCTGACATGTGGTGGGCACTGGGTGTGTGCCTGTTTTCTTTCTCATCTCCCTCCTCTCCCTGGTCACCTGCCTTCTTTGACAATGGACCCACTGAAGCGTGGCCAACCTATCGTACTGTGGTTTTGTGAGCAGAACGTGGGGAGATTAACAAAGACCCAGCAGTAAAAGGCTGTGGAAACGGGCGATCTCGGGATGTGGGGCCAGAGGATCTTTCTGGGCGGACATTGGGGACTCGGGCCTTTGCAAGGTGAGGCTACTGAGAAGCTGGGAGCCCAACAGGAAGTCCCAGTGCCCTGCACCAGAAGGGGAATGGATGAAGGTTGGAATTCTAGGTATAGCGCGCAGAGGTCAGAGGTCAGGTGCTGCTGTGGTCTGAGCCACTGTCTGTGCAGCCTAGAGCTGGGCCCAGAGACAGCCCGAGTCAATATTGACCTTCCTCCTGGCCAGTCTGGCTCTTGTGCCTCTCAAGTGTTGACACAAGCAACAGAATGAGCTTTATTAGAGTATTCTTTCCAACAACAGCCCATTATCTCTCCCTTGGGGATTGACTGGGGCCCTGTCCTGTGGGAATGGTGACAAGGACAGGGAGCCCAGACATTGTGGCATGTGTGCAGTGCCTTTGGCCCTGGCAGATGCCACATTTCCCTAGCTCACTTGAGAGGCACAGTGGAACCTCAGCCTCTCGGGGACTCCCCTGGCTTCTACAAAGCCTGTGGACAGTGGGAAGAAGGACCCCGCGGGGCAGGTGGGCAGAGAAGCAGGTGAGGCTTTCCTCCCCTGTATCTGGGGAACCGGGAGAGGGTGCTGCGGTACTGTTGCTCCAGCCACGTGTCACGTGCAGAGGAGCAGATGGCAAGCACAGACCTCAGGGGAGGCTGGAGGGAGAAGAGCTGAGCTTCCCACAAAGGGTGAGCAGGGAGAGGACCGAGGGGAGAGAGGGCAGGGGCCTTGGCCGGGGGGAGTAGCTCACCATCACTGCATGCACTCAGCCAGAGGGCAGTGCCACAGGGGGGCTGAAATTTGGGCGGGGGGCTGAGGGCCAGGGCAGATGCCGCCATGAGCCCCGTTCATGCACATCACCGCCTCCCTTTGGAAGATGCAAACTGCACAAGGCAAGGATTTTGTCTCGCTCACTGTGGCCCCAGGGCCTGGGGTAAAAGGGGTTGCATAATCAATCCTTTTTTCAGTAGAGGAATGAATAATACAGATTTATATTTAAACAAACTCCAGAAAGTCAAGTTTGAGAAGAATCCTCCTAGCGGATGAGACTGTTCCAATGAACGGCTATTTGTGGAAATTCCAAGCCAGGGAAGCAGCCGAAGCCTGCCAATCCCCAGAGGGCTGCATGGGGTGCTGGTTCCCAAAGGGGGTTCCAAGAGGCCAGATGACCCTGCTGCAGATTCAGGGTGTCCGGGCCCAGCTCCTCCTCCGTAGGCACCAAGGTCTGTGGACTGTGTCTCCCGCGAGTGGCTGTGGCGGGCCTGGGAGTGGTGCGGGGTAGGATCAGGGTGTGGGGCGTCCTCAGGTCTACCTCTTCTGTGCTAATCACTTAGCCCTTTTGGAGCCTCGCTCCCTCGCCCGTGTAGCGGAGACAGGGATCACTCTAGCTCATGGGCCGGGGAGGAGATGGCACATGTGACACTCTCAGCCCTGAGCCTGCTACTGACACCAGCTCTCCCTGAGTGACAATTATTAAAAATAGCCCAAACTGCTCCTTGAGCAAGAACACGCTGTTCCTCCCGCCTCGTTGCGCCTGCAGAAACTGACAGAGGTGAATGAGTCCCTTCCTTTGTCACCGATGGAAATGCTGAGGCCTAGAGAGGAGGCGGAGAGGAGGCCAAGGTCGCAGGCCCCAGGGTCCACCCTGAGCCTCGCAGCCCTGGATGTCCATGCTGATAAGCAGTCCCCGAGCCTCCCCGCTGGGGCGCACTGCACCCTTCTGCAAACGGGGCCTCCTAGTGTGCAGCCGCCCCACCCCCCCTTCCAGATGCCTGGAAACAGTGAATCCCACCAGCCTCACGCCCACCAGACAGTTCACCAACATCCCAGACCTGAGGCAGCCGGCCAGACGCGCCCCCTGCACTGGGACAGCAGCCCCCCAGACACGCCGTCTGGGAGCCACCTTCCCAGGCTGCAGCCCCTGCCTGGGGCTGAGAGCCCTCCCCTTGCAGGGATTCTGTAGGAAGAAGCCAAAGCCGCTTCTGTGTCAGGTGCAGAGGTTCAGCTGGGTGACCACGCGAGACACCAGCACGTGCAGCAACAGCAGGGGCCAGCATTGTGTCATGGCAAATTAAGCCACCATCCACAATGCCAGCATCCCGTATGGGCAGCATCCCATATGGGTGCTGATTCCAGACCCAGCTGCTCCACTTCCAACCCAGCTCCCTGATAATGCTCCTGGGAAAGCAATAGAAGATGGCCCAAGTGCTTGGGCCCCTGGACCCACGTGGGAGACCTGGACAGAGTTCCTGGCTCCTGGCTTTGGCCTAGCCCAGCCCCTGGCCATTGTAGCCCTTTGGGGAGTGAACCAGCAAATAAAAGATTGGTCTCTCTCTCTCTCTCTCTCTCTCCCTCCCTTTCTCTCTCTCTCTGTGACTCTGGCTTTCAAATAAAAAAAAAATCTTAAAAAAAATTCATTTTTATTTATTTGAAAGGTAGAGCGACAGAAAAAGAGAGACACAGAGATCTTTCATCTACTGGTTCACTCCCCAAAATGCTGCAACAGCCAGGGCTGGACCAGGCTGAAGCCAGGAGCCCAGAACTCCATCCAGGTCTTCCAAGTGGGTGGCAGGAACTCAAGTACTTGAGTCATCACCTGCTGCTTCCCAGGCGCATTAGCAGGGAGCTGGATTGGAAGTGCAGGCTTCAAGTGGGGCTGGAACTGGGGCTCCGATACGGGATACAGGCGTCCTGGGCCACAGGGCTTGCTTTTGCTTTTCAGGTGTACCAGCTCTGGCCATTGCAGGTCCTGATACAACTCTTTGAAATATTTTATGCCGCCCCTTTGAAAGGAGCAAAAATCCCCTGGTTTGGACAAGTGAGGAGTAGCCCCTGAGTTAGAACAGGCCCAGTCTGCACTGGGCTCTGACCAACAGGTCAGCCCAGCAAGGAACTTGACAGCTGTGCTGGTCAGAGCTGGGCCTGTCCCATTCTCTTCACTGCCCCCAGTTTCCATCAGGCTGCTCAGCCCCCTGCTCCTGGAGAAACCTTGGGTGTGTGGGGGGAGACTGCCAGCTGCCCGATGCCCTCCCGAGCAGGCAAAGTGGACGGAGCAGGGGCTTTGGAATCAGATCCAACTCAGTCCCTCAACTCACTCATTTCCTGGTCTGTGGCCTTGGGCGGGCTGGTTAACGTCTCTGAGCCCCATGGGCGTTTGTGGATAGTAAGAATAATTCCTGCTGCCCCGGGTTGCTGTGAGGCTTGAGAAATCCTCAGAAAGGTCTGGCGCTCAGCAGGCTCTCACGACAGGCCACCTCCTTGTCTGGCTCTGAGCCTCCTGCCCCTGACCCCGCAGTCCGGCGGCAGCCCTGGGCCTGGGCACCTCCCACAGCCCTGCCCTGGGCTTTGCTGGTTGTGCCGCCATTTCCTCTGGGAAGCCTCTGCCGGGTGCTGCCCACCTCCCACCTGCGGCCACTTTGGGCCGGACCCTCTGCTCCCTGAGCTCCCGCTGGGGCCCTGCCCCCTCCATTTCTACCTCAGGTCTCGGGCGCCCCTCATCTCTCTGGGGCCAGGCAGCAGGAGGAGAGCTCCCCCTTCCCCAGAGGAAGGGAGGGTGGATGTGGGGTGACAGTCACAGGGACGTCAGCCATATCCCTCAGCCCCAGGAGTCCTGTGAGCACAGGTGGAAAGGGAACCCAGCACCGGCAGGGAGCGGGCGGGAGGCAGTGCTGGGACTTGGTGGGCGGGCGTCTCCCAGGCACTCAGTGTGTGTGGGTCACTCTTTAGGTAGAAAAGCCACCCATCTTCAGACAACACTGAGAGGATGAGAAAGGCACGGTAAGGGGAGGTGGCCGTGGCAGTGCCACCTCCATGTATCTCCTTCACGTGTTCGTGGGTCTCACAGCACTGACCAACTAATGCAGGTGAAATCTTTAGAGAGAACCCCTCCTCCAAACCTAGGACTTCGCCAGTTCTGCTTTGGACAAAGGAACCCTTGGTGGCTTCATTGGTCTCTGGGAGCCCTGAGCGGGCAGGTTTTGTCTCCAGCAGACTCGGAGCCTAGGGGAAGAGACAGCCAGAGTGTGGGCCTCTCCCTCTCCCACTCCATCACTGCCTCTCCTGGCGGGTCAGGGACCCGTGTCCGGGTAGCTGGGTGTGATATGAACTCAGGTTTCTGGTGTGCTGTCTCATCGTTTCAGCTGCACTTGCTAAAGAGATCACCCACCCCCTCATTGTACTGCGGTGTCACCTTTGTCATAAATCAAGTGACTTCATAGGAGTGGTCTATTTCTGGGTTCTCGTCTGTTTCCTGGGCTAGTTATCAGTCGTGGTGCTGATTCCACGCTGGAGTAACGAGTGAGGCTTTATCATCTGTCTTGGTATCTACTTAGTGGAATCCTCCAACTTTGTTTCCTAAGATCATCTTGGCTATTGCTGGTTCTTCATATTTCTCAGTACATTTTAGAATCCGTTTGTCAATTTCTACCAAAAGACAGTCGCTGAGATTGCAATAAATGTGCAGGTTAATTTGCAAATAACTTCTGTGAACATCACTGAACCGTGTCTTGCATTTTTTTTAAGGTAAAGACTTTGCACATCTTCCATTAGCTTTATTCCTAGGTATTTGCTATTTCTAATCTAAAATGGTAAAGGGTATCTTTTCATTTCAGTTTCTACTTGGTGGTTATGGATTCACAGAAATTCGATTGATTTTTGTCATCTTGACCTTACACCGGGGACCTTCTAAATTCACTTGTTTAATCCCAGTACTTTGGATTCTTCTGGATTTTCTGCTTACAATCCGGGTGTCCCAGTGTTGGCCTCCCCACGTTTCAGAAAAGTCCTCGCAGCCTTCCTTTAGGTTGTTGATTTCCCATGAACTCAACAGCCCCCTGCTGGCTCCAAGCCCGAGCTCAGCTGCTCGCTTCTGCCAGCCCCACCCTCACCTCTAGAGCGCAGGACCCCAGGGCGCCCGGCTGCCCTTTCTTCTCCCCAGGTCTTTTCTGCTGCCTTCAGGAAGGGGCTGTTCGGCAATCACTTACTGTGGACGCAGGAGCGGGGACCCCAGGCTCCCTCAAGCTCTTAGCTAATGCTACTCTCCCGTGCATCCCTGCCACGAGGCCTGAGCCCCGGGCTGGGGCCAGGCATGTTCTGGGGGAAAGTGTTAGCCAGCTCTGCCTCAGCTCCAGGGTGCATCTCTGCACCCCTACAGACTTCCGGAGCTCAGGAAGAGGGTGAAGCAGTCGGCTCGACTAACACGGGGCTGGGGGCTGGTGGGGCTGGCCAATGAGGCTGTGAGGACAGGCCTGCTGAATGGAGCCAGAGGAACTCCAGCCCTCCCACACCCCAGGAGACCACAGCATGGAGATAGGCGGGGCCCCCAGGAATCAGGCCTGGCCTTTGACAAGTCACGCGAGAGGCCAGGGGCTCAGCATCCGTCCCAGACTTGGATCTTAGGATCTGTCCCAGCCTGAAGACACTGAGCTGAGAGGTGGGGATGCAAAGGGAGGTAGCGCTGCAGCCGAGCAGCCTCTGTGTGCTGGGAACCTGCTGACCGCAGCCCGCCTCTGCCCGGGAGCTGTGTCTCACTCACCCCTCGGGGAGACGGAGGACGCTGAGGCTCGGATCATGTCGGTAGCTTGTTCCAACTCTCTCCAAATTAGCATGAGGCTCCCTGCACCTCGATCGCAGTTCCTCCCGAAGCCCTGGGTCTCTCTGGGGTCCTGCACATGTGGCTCTGCCTTTAGGGGGTGTCTGTGGACTCCTGACCCTCACAGTCCACCAAAGCGGCCAACGGGCCAAGACATGCAGCAGACACCCAGACTGAGTCACGCAAGGTGAATTCCTGCGGGACACACGGTGGTCGTTCAGGCCCCCTGCCCTTCCGAGGGGGCACCAGCTGCCCTCCAGGTCAGAGACCTCCCTCAGAACTTGCAGGGGAAAAAACAAAAGACCAGGAAGGCACCATTCCCAGAGCAGGAGCCAGGAGAGAACGCGGTGGCCTGCACTCCAGGTCTGTGGGCGGATGAGAAGTCCAAGCATTCACGTGCCTGCGGTGACCTCTCCAGGTGCCGTAAAAACCACTGAGCTGTTTGGAGCCCCTTCAAATCTGGAGCATTCACGTGGGCACCCGACCCTGACCGCCAGTGTGGTCCCAGGCCTGGGGCTCCCTCTGGGAGAGGCCCTGTGCCTGCCGGCTCCCCGCTTCCCTGCCCGTCCCCGGCCCTGCTGTCCTCCTCACTGGTGGTCAGCGGCACCTCACGCAGACCTCAGGGCAGCAGATGAGGAAGCAGGCTTGATTGCAAGTGACTTTTTGGTTTTTATTTTTAACTGGCACCTAAAAACTGTACATATTGATGAGCTCCATGTGATGTTTCAGTGCATGTACACAATGTGTAATGTTCAAATCAAGGTTAAAAATAGCAATCCTCAAACAGTCAGCTTTTCCTTATGGCAAAAAATATTTAGAATCCGTGCTTCTAGTTTTGTTTTAGAAAAATATACAATTCACTGGCATTATTTATAGCCTTCTACCATGCCATAAAGCACCAGAACCTACTCCTACCTAGCCGTGACTCAGTGCCCATTCATCAGCTTTTCCCCATCCCACCCTCGCCGCTGGCCCCTAATAACACCGCTGTGGTGCTAGTGACTGCATGAGGCCCGAATGGTCAAGACTCCACCCGGGAGGGAGCTGTGCGGCACTTGCCTTCCTGGGCCCGGCTTACTTCACTCAGCATGATGACCTGCAGCTGCAGTTGTTGGAAATGCCAAGATTTCATCCCACTTCACGGCATTTGTGTGCATTTATCCGTTTATCAGTGGAAGGACACGTAGGCTGCTCGCGGCAGTGGATGTGAGAGTGCAGATGTCTCCTTGACAGGCGCTTTCCTTTCCCTTGGCTGTCCACCCAGGGGTGGGATTGCTGGCCCACGTGGCAGTTCTCTTTTTCGTGTTTTTCCAGAAGCTCCGTGCTGGTTTCCGCAGGCTGTACTTATTTACATTCCCGCCTGTGCTCGGAGGCTCCCTTTCCTGCAGCCCTCACCGAGCTTATCTTTAAGGTGATGTCTGCTTGTGACTTTGGTCCCATTTCCCTGATTAGTGGTGTTGAGCACTTTTTCATCGACCTGTTTGCCCTTTGTATCTCTTCCTTTTAAAAATGTTTAGACCTTCTGCCCATTTTCCAGTTGGATTATTTTGGGGTGTTGGCTATTTGAGTTCCTAATATCCATGCATGGATTTCAGGTATTATTGCAGCAGGGCCGGTGTTATGGTGCAGCAGGTTCCGCTGGGGTGTGTAATGCCGGCGTCCTATAGTGGAGCACCAGTTATAGTCCAGGCTGCTCCGTTTCTGATCCGTCTCCCTACTTATGCACCTGGGAAGGCAGCAGAAAATGGCCCAAATCCTTGGGCCTCTCCCACCCATATAGGAGACTTGGATGGAGTTGCTGGCTTCTCGTTTTGGCCTGACCCAGCCCTGACTGTCGTAGGCATTTGGGGAGGAAACTAGCGGATGGAAGGTCTCTCTCTGTCTCTGTTGCTCTGCTTTTCAAACAAATAAATAAATCTTTAAAAAATTTTTTTCTTGCACCAAAATAAAGTGATGGTTGAATTCCATTTCCCACAACCTTTGTTAAGTACTCTGTATTCTGGTTAGTAGCCCCTTGCAAATAGTCACTGACTGTAGGTTGCCAGCATTTTCTCCCATCCTGTGGGTTGTGTCTTCTGTCTGTAGATGGTCACAGTTCTGCACTGGGAGGGGCTCTCTGCCTTCTTTGAGGGCTTCACTCTTGCCACCCTTCCCCCACCCCGGGCTGTGCCCTTGGCTTTGTGCCTTTCTGGAATTCAGGCAAAGCACCTGATAGCCACAGAGGCCCTTCTGCTGTTCCTTGGTCCCGTATGATACGTGGTTCCAGCCTGGACAAAATGTCTATGAATGAGCTGGTTGGGCTTTTATTAATGTGTCTACTACATTAGCATGTTTGCTGTTGTCGAACCATCCTGGGACAAACCCAAGTTGACCGTGACCCAAAACCAACCAACCAAACAAAAACAACTCTAACATACTGTTAGGCTTAATTTCCTAGTTTTGTGTAGGATTTTCACATTTATATTCACAAGTTAGATTGTTCCAAACTTTCCTTGTCTGGTAAAGAGCCAGGGGCTCCCTGGTGTCATAAAATGACTGGCCGATTCCCTCCCTCTTTCCTGCTTTTCCAATTCTTTGACAATGAATGAAATCCTACCAGGCTTTGGATTGTATCAAAGCACACCCCCAGAGTCTGCCTGCTCAGCGGGGGACTTGGCACCACTAGCAGACACCTCTTTCCTTGTTTATTTCTGGTGCTTTTGTTGCTTCTGGGCACATTCTGCTGGGAGCCAGCCATTTCCCCGGGGAAGTAGGGGTGAGGGTGAGGGGAAACCCTGGGTGGGACAGAGGAGCTGTGCTGGGGGACAGGCACGGCAGAGGGAGCCTCGAGCCTGGGGCCCCAGCACCCGCTGCAGCCAGCCCGTGGTTCCGGGCACGAGCTTAGCATGAGTCCCTCTTGCAGGCACCATGTTCCGCAAGAAGAAGAAGAAACGCCCCGAGATCTCCGCCCCGCAGAACTTCCAGCACCGCGTCCACACCTCCTTTGACCCTAAGGAGGGCAAGTTTGTGGGGCTCCCCCCACAGTGGCAGAACATCCTGGACACTCTGCGGCGCCCCAAGCCTGTGGTGGACCCTTCACGCATCACACGGGTGCAGCTGCAGCCCATGAAGGTGAGGGGGACGGGCGAGGATGGCGGGGGGCCCAGGTCAGCTCCCTCACAGCACAGTAAAACCCAAAAGCATCTGGAGGAACCTCCACCCCAGCCGTGAGCAGTCAGTGAGCCGGTTGCCAGTCAGCTGGCCTGGAGAGGAGGGACCTGAGAGTCCCTCTCTGCAGGGTAGGAGGGCGACCAGGCTAAACAAACAAAAATACAAGATGCTCAGTTGACCCTGAACTTCAGATACCAGCGAATCATCTTGTAGCTTGAGTATGTCCCAAGCAGGTATTTGCACCTAGAGCCCCCAAGGGTCTGGGGGTTCTCACAGAATGGGGCAGTGTAGTTGTGGGGATCAAGACAGGTGGAGCCAAGGGCCTGGTAGGAGCTGAGGTCCAGGGCCCGGTCAGGGAAGCCATGAAGCCTCCTGCGGGTGGAGGACACCCCTGACCTGTTCTCTGCACACTTCTCCAAAGCTGGAGGACGCCCCCTCCCCACCCTGCACTGTGTAGCTCCGCAGGCTCGGCTGGCACTGCCACTTAGCGTGCTGGGTTGTAACCCCCTGGTTACCCACCCATCTGCCCTGTTGTGTCCCTGTGTCCTGCACCGGCACAGGCCTAACCCGCAGGGAACCTGGTAAATTAACAAACGGGTGAGTGGTACAGCAAGGGGTCCTCCCACCGAGGGGGCCCTTCTTCATGCTCCTCTTCCTCTCCCTGCAGACTGTGGTGCGGGGCAGTTCAGTGCCCTCCGACGGCTACATCTCAGGGCTGCTCAATGACATCCAGAAGTTGTCGGTCACCAGCTCCAACACCCTGCGCGGCCGCAGCCCCACCAGCCGGCGGCGGGCCCAGTCCCTGGGGCTGCTGGGGGACGAGCACTGGGCCGCTGACCCGGACATGTACCTCCAGAGCCCACAGTCGGAGCGCACCGAGCCCCACGGCCTCTACCTCAGCTGCAACGGGGGCACACCAGCAGGCCCCAGGCAGGGGCCGGGGCCCGAGCCGCAGAGTCCGCGCGTCCTGCCTAACGGGCTGGCCGCCAAGGCGCAGTCCCTGGGCCCCGCCGAGTTCCACGGTGCCTCGCAGCGCTGCCTGCAGCTCGGTGCCTGCTTGCAGAGCTCCCCGCCCGGCACGTCTTCTCCCGCGGCAGCTGGCAGGCGTGGCACAAAGGCTGCCAAGCACGGCTCCGAGGAGGCCCGGCCACAGTCCTGCCTGGTAGGCTCGGCCGCAGGCAGGCCCGGAGGGGAAGGCAGCCCGAGCCCCAAGGCCCAGGAGAGCAGCCTGAAGCGCAGGCTGTTCCGAAGCATGTTCCTGTCCACTCCCGCCTCAGCCGCTCCGGGCAGCAGCAAGCCAGGCCCTCTACCGCAGAGCAAGGTAGGCGGAGCTGGGGCCTCCCTTGGGGGGTGGGGGGCCGCTCCCAGGAGGGCAGGAGCCTGGCCTGGCAGGCATCCACTGTGGCTTGGGTGTCAGGGACCCAGGCCATTCATAGGACGGGGAGAATGTGAGGGACCAAAAAGATCACGAACCCAGCTCAGCCTCAGCTGAGGAGTCCACCCTGAACCAGCTGCTGCCCGCGTCCCCCTGAGGCCTAGCACATGGGAGGCACAGGTTGCAAGCCAGGCCCCTTCGTGGGACCAGGGCTCCTCCAGGGGGCTTATGATAGGCCCTTGCTGCCCCCTGGGGCCTCGGTGGCCCACATCGAGGGCAAACACCCTCGGAAAGGCAGCTCCCTACCCACCAGCCCAGAGCAGACCCCACCCCCACCCAGGCATAGCTGGGTGCTCCAGCCCTGGGGGTGGGAGACAGGTGGCCCTCAGAGCACTGCTGCCTCTGCCTCCCGCCTGCCCTGAGGCACAGGCCTGCTCTCCTTTGCTGAGGCTGGCCCTTGTTTGACCTCACGTCCTGTAATTACTTCCTCCTGGGCAGAGCCTGGAGGGTGGGTTCTCCTGGGTCTGGTGACAGCGCAGGTGTGGCACCTTCTTCCCGCGAGAAGGGTAGAGGGACCCTTGTGGGGACCCTTCCTGGTGGGCAGATCAGAGCCCGGCTTTGCTTCTCACCTGCCGGCCCCTTCAGCAGAGGAGCAGACACACTCACAGCGAGGGAGAGGACCCCCAGGTGTGGAGAGCAAACCAGAGAAGGAAGCCGGAGAGAGCGCCCCATGCCGGCTGCCTCCGTGCCCTGCCGGGCCCTCGCGCTGGGCCTCAGAAGCTGCTGCTGGCAGTGGCCTGCGTGATGAGGGTCTCCCCTTCGTAGTGGTGGTCGGGGGGGGGCTTTGAGAGCAAGCCCGGGGGGAGGGGTGACCTGGACCTACAAGCACGCCAAGTCACCACTGGCTGCGGCCCCCAGGGAAGGCTCCAGGCTTTGTGCACTTGAGCTCTGGGGTATGGCGGGTGTAGCTTGCGTGTCCTGTCCCTGTGAGGAGCATCTGAGCTGAGTGGTCTGTGGAAGGCTGTAGGTGGGGGAGGCATCCCCGGAAAACCAAGGTGGGCACAGGGCAGTGCCGGCCTCTAGAGAGGCACGAACTGGAGCTGGAGCCCTCTCTGGCCCTTGCAAGTCCTGCTGGGTGGGCTTTGGGATGTGGAGAGAAGAGGCACCGACAGTGGGCTGGGCACTGCCCTGGGTCTTCCTGGGCTCTGCCTGGTGCCCCACAGCAGAGGCACAGGCCTGTGCGCCCAACCTCTGCCCGCCTCTCCGTCTCTGCACCCTCTGCCGGCTGCCCCTGTACTTGTGGAGGCAGGTGGTGGTCCTGGGCTCAGAGAACCACTGGTCCTAGTGCAGGGGAGGGGTGTCCTTCCAGGCACCCTGAGCACCCCGAAAGGGCAGGGCTGAGACCTCCAGCTGCTCCGGGCCGGGGCTCCTGAGTTGACGTGAGATGCCATAGTTTGCCTGGCTCCCACCCACGAGATTGATGCTAGTACCACCCCCAGCTGGGACAAACAAAAATCCTCCAGACGTAGCTCAGTGTCTCTTAGGGGGCGAAGTGCTCCGCAGTTGAGAATCACCACGCTGGGCCAATCCTAACACACTAGGGCACACCCAACTTCTTCCTCCTCCCTCCACAGCCCACCCGGAAGCCCTGGACCCATCCAGCAGCACAAGCCCGCAGTTGGCACCGGACTCACAGCAGCTCTCACAGCGGCTGTCCATGCTCCGGTGCCCTGGGCAGGCAGGCCCGTGCTGGTGTGCCAGGGCAGCTGCGCAGGCTGTGAGCAGAGGCCCTGGTCCCCTGTACTCAGACCCGAAGCCTCTCACTGTGGCTGAAGAGCAAAAGAGGATGAGGACTAGAAGTCAGGGGCAGGGAGGCCAAAGAGGTAGGACAGGCGGGTGGTTTGGAGTTTAGCAGCAGTTCCACCTAGAGCCGGAAGGGCAAACCCTGCTGAGATACCCACTGTGAACCATGAAGTACAAAGATACAGGGCAGCAATACGCCCGCGGCATAGGGGCCGTAGGTGAGGTCCACGGGGACTGACGTCTGGCTGTGCCCCTGGGCGAGTTGCTTGACCTCTGGGAGCCTGTTTGTTTGCACAGATGGAGATGCAGCAGCGCCCACGGGATAATAAAACAACCCACAGGACTAGGAGGACCCAGTGAGATAATGAACCCCGGGCACTTGTCCAGGAGGCAAGTTTGATGATTTCTGACAACCTGTGACATGGCCTTTGTCTTCAGGACACTCATGGTACAGCCCCCAAGCCCCCAGCCAGGAGCCCTGGCCCCGGGGGACACGAGGCACTGTCAGAGCACAGCACTCTCCTAGAGGCTTCCTTTGCCCAAGGTCCCCAGCACCAGGTAACTCCCGGAGTAATCCAGAGCCTGCAGCGATGCATTAATCCTATCATCGGCCCCCTCTCCTTTCCTTGTCATGGCTCCATCTGTTTCTTTTCCTTTTTAAAGATTTTATTTATTTATCTGAGAGGTAGAGTTACAGAGAGAGGGAAAGACAGAGAGAGAGAGGTCTTCCATTGCTGGTTCACTCCCCAAATGGCCACAACTGCCAGAGCTGGACTGATCCGAAGCCAAGAGCCAGAAGCTTCTTCCGGGTCTCCCACCTAGGTTCAGGGGTCCAAAGGTGCATTAGCAGGGAGCTGGATTGGAAGTGAAGCAGCCAGGATTCGAACCAGCATCCATGTGGGATGCCGGCACTGCAGGCTGGGGCTTTAACCTGCTGTGCCACCGCGCCAGCCCCTCCATCCATTTCAGTTGGTCCTTGCCCATGGTAACCTCTTGCAGCAAGGCCACCGAAGGACATGTGGACAGGCCGCTGCCTTCTCTCCCTGCTGAGGGGTCCTTCGCCGGGAGAAAGTGGGGGCTGCTCCCGGGAGTCCTGCAGACTCTCCTTCAAAGCCTCAGCCTCAAGCCTCAACCTCGCTGATCTTGAGCTCCAGATCTCGCTGGCCGCAGGTCCCCAGCACTGGGGACCACCGAGCCCTCTGCTGGGGACATGGCCTCCCAGGGCACACACACAGGCTCCCTGCGCAGGCACAGCACTCAGACCCAGCTGCGGCCTCCCTGCCCTGGCAGTGCAAGTGGAGACCCGGATGCCCAGGGCCACCTCCCCCCGACGTGGGCCTTGAGGCGGGCGAGGGAACTCAGGAGGGAAGAGCGCTGTGACCCAGCAGCAAGGAGGGACGCCTCCTGGGGGCCCGGCTGTCAGTCACCCAGGAGAGGGACTCTGCTCTGGGTGTCTTCCCAGGGGCAGCAGAGCAGGTGCAAAGAGCTGGGAGTGGGGGGCCAGCTTTGCTCACAGCATCCTCCGGTTTGCTCTGGCGCCCTGCCTGGCCAGCCAGCACCCACAGGTCACAGGGGCCGCCCCTGCCCCCTGGGAGGGTTCCTGCACACAGTCCCACAGCCACACACCTTCTTGTTTTTTGCCTTGTCCCTGCAGCCCAGCTCCTCCTTCCGCCAGCCGCAGAAAGACTCCCTGCCAAGCCTGGTGGTCAAGGCCCAGTCCTTGCCTTCAGACCAGCCTGTGGGGACATTCAGTCCTCTGCCCCCTTCGGACACCAGCAGCCCCCTGAAGTCCCTCCGTACCAACCCGGCCACCGGCCCACTGCCCAGCCGGTCCTCACCGGCCGGCTCCCCCAGGACCCGGCACGCTCAGATCAGCACCAGCAACCTGTACCTGCCCCAGGACCCCGCAGCGGCCAAGGGCGCCCTGGCCGGCGAGGACACGGGTGTGGTGACTCACGAGCAGTTCAAGGCCGCGCTCAGGATGGTGGTGGACCAGGGTGACCCCCGGCTGCTGCTGGACAGCTACGTGAAGATCGGCGAGGGCTCCACTGGCATCGTCTGCCTGGCCCGTGAGAAGCACTCGGGCCGTCAGGTGGCCGTCAAGATGATGGACCTCCGGAAGCAGCAGCGCCGGGAGCTGCTCTTTAATGAGGTGGGCTGTGGGCCATGGGCTAGGTGGGGGTGGGGGGGCTGGGATGGTCAGCCAGGGCAGGGGTGAGCAGCGGCGGCGAGGCTCTGGGGCACATGCCGGGCACTCAGGGCCCCCTGCTGCCCGCAGGTGGTGATCATGCGAGACTACCAGCACCTGAACGTGGTAGAGATGTACAAGAGCTACCTGGTGGGCGAGGAGCTGTGGGTGCTCATGGAGTTCCTGCAGGGTGGGGCCCTCACCGACATCATCTCCCAAGTCAGGTGGGTAGCACTGCCCCAGCCTCTGGGGACCTGTCAGATGGGCCTGTTTGGGGTAACTGAGTCCTAGAGGTGTCAGGGGAGTATGTGGGGAAGAGGAGTGGTCTGCACCATAGGTGCTGGCTCAGTTCCCGCCAGGCCGTGACCTGACCGGGGCTCCCCAGCACCTTGCCCGGGGGGAGCCCTGTTGTGCCCAGCCCTGCAGCCCCAGCACAGCTAACACCTGTGGCCCGTCCGCGGGCCCTGCATCCCTGTGCAGGCTGAACGAGGAGCAGATCGCCACCGTGTGCGAGGCCGTGCTGCAGGCACTGGCTTACCTGCACGCCCAGGGAGTCATCCACCGGGACATCAAGAGCGACTCCATCCTGCTGACCCTGGACGGCAGGGTAGGCCCCGCCCTGTCCCTGACACGGCTGCCGCCACCTCCCTCCTGCTGGTTCCTCACCCTCCCCTCTCAACTCCAGGTGAAGCTCTCCGACTTCGGATTCTGTGCTCAGATCAGCAAAGATGTCCCTAAGAGGAAGTCCCTGGTGGGAACCCCCTACTGGATGGCTCCAGAAGTGATCTCCAGGTCTCTGTATGCCACCGAGGTAACAGTCCACCCCCCCAGCATCCCAGATATGTGGGACGTGAAGTACTGTCCCCCACCACACCCCCGGGACTCCCCCACCACATAGCCCAGTTCCCAGACCCCACATCAGTCAGTACCTCGCCCCCTTTCTCATGGGGCTGCTTTCACCTGTGACTTCTCTGCCAGTGTCCCCCGCCCCCCGCTAAGTTCAAGGGCATGGAGAGGCACAACCAGGCTTCTCCACGTGTGCTGGCCTCTCTCAGAGAGTGGCCAACAGCCATGTCCCTACAGTCCATGGTCGCTTGCGCAGGGGAGGGAGGAGACAACCATCCTATCAGGCCGCTCCTGAGGCCAGGGGTCAGGAGCAGTGTCCTCCTGCAGGTGGATGTCTGGTCCCTGGGCATCATGGTGATCGAGATGGTGGATGGGGAGCCACCCTACTTCAGCGACTCGCCGGTGCAAGCCATGAAGAGGCTCCGGGACAGCCCCCCGCCCAGGCTGAGGAATTCCCACAAGGTCAGTTGGTGCACAGACCCCTCCCTCCTGCAGCATGAGGACTGAGTCTGGGCTCCAGGCCAGCACCAGCCCTGCTTGTCTACAGGAAACCTGTGCCTGGGTGTGTGGCCACATCTGCACCAGCTCCCAGGGTCATGCCACAAGTCCCTATCTGATGCAGGCCCAGGCCCTAGGCTCCCTGTGCCCCATTTGCCAGGGGATCCGACTCAGCTGCCCCTCATCCTGACCACAGCTGAGCCCCAGCTCCCCCCTTAAAGCCAGCACAGCCCTCTGTCTGTGGAGCTAGTTAACCCTTTTCTTTCAAGTACCCCTCAAACAGCCCCTGCTGGTGGGTTAACAAAGGACTTCTAGGTGGCACTGCCATCTGGTGGCCAGGGCTAGGAATGTCCCAGGGGGTTGGAGCCCAGGGTCTAAATGGCAAAATCGGTCTGTGGTCACCACAGTAGGAGTCTAGCTAGCAGCTAGCGTCTTGCAAGACACCTGGTGCTTGGACCCTATGCTGCTGACCTTGAGATTAGCAGACAGGAGGGATTGGGCTGGCTAATTCTACACCAGCCCAGGACTCGGCCTCACCCCAACATACTGCTCAAAATGAACCAAGATAGCCTTGCCTTCGACTCTAAGGCTTAGAGCAACAAAGAAATCTTCCTTTGCAGATTCTGCCTTGCTCTTTTCTATTTTTTTTAAAGTATTGCATCCCTAACCCCGACTTCTTCTTCTTAGGTGGTAGGCAGGGAGGGGGCAAGCACACCTTATCCTAAGGCCATTTTACCCGGGTTGGGGGGGGCGGACTGACTCCCACAGAAAACTGCGACTTGCCCTAGATCCAGGGCAGACCCAGGACAGTCCCTCCCACAGAGCCACAGAGCCTTACCACTGGGGGCCCTGAGAGTAAGGCAGAAGGGATGAGCTATCTTGGAACTCAGCTGTCCTGAGTCCCAGGCATCTTGGCTTGGCAGCCCCCGCTCCAGGAGAACTGGTCACTTTTCCTGGACTGACGCCACCTCCTTCACGTGCCTGGAAGGAACCAGGACACAGGAAGCAGCAATGGGGCCGGGCAGCCCGGTCACCCCGAAGCGCCTGCAGACGGTGACTTCCTCTTGGGGCCCTGTCTCCACAGGTCTCCCCGGTGCTTCGAGACTTCCTGGAGCGGATGCTGGTGCGGGACCCCCAAGAGAGGGCCACAGCCCAGGAGCTCCTGGACCACCCCTTCCTGCTGCAGACGGGGCTGCCCGAGTGCCTGGTGCCCCTGATCCAGCTCTACCGCAAGCAGACCTCCGCCTGCTGAGCCACTTCCACAGTGCACCTGCCACCTGTGCCCACAGGCAGGGCACACGGGGCGGCCAGCCTGCCCCACTCTCAGTATTCTCTCCAAAGATTGAATGTGAAGCAACCCCACCCCCCCGCCCCTCTGCCCACTGGGCCAGGCCGGACCTGCCCCCTCGGTCTCTCCCTCCCTCCCCACAGTCCCCAGCTGCCTTTGGGCTGATGGAGACTCCTGCAGGATGCCCTTTGTTATTTGCCCAGGGATATTTCTAAGAAACAGAGACTGGCGCTCCTGGCCACTGGGGCCAGCACAGCAGGCAAGGCTGCTGCGGGTTTGTCTGTGTTTTTTTTAAAGGGAGTTGTACACGGGCAGTCTGCTCGTCTAGGGGTGGGGGTGGGGGGTGCGGGGAACTGCTGTCCCCGGCGCTGGAGTCAAACCCCGGGGTCTCAGGAGCCAAGGGGAGGCTCTGACTACCTGAACCCTTCTTCCTCCCAAGTGTCTGACTTCCTGAACCTGCCCCTGACCCACCCGCACAGCCTGCTCCGAGGCCCTGGGCAGCACAGGGAGCATTCTCTGAGCGAAAGAGGAGGAAGGGGTCGCTGTCAGAGTGGTCTCACTCCACAGGATGCAGAGGGGGAACACGTGTGAGGGGGGAGAAGGCTTCCCGCCAGCCTGGGTCCCTTTGGGTCACCCACAGCCAGCATCAGGAAGGCTGCCCCCACCTCCCTCCCACTCACCAAGAGCCTGCTGCCTCGGCCTGGCTCCCCACCCCGCCAACCCACGATTCTCCCCACCCAAGGAGCGGTGGCAGTGAGTCTAAGGCACCTTCGGGGCCTCCGGGGGCTGGTGCCATGTGAGGGCTGGAGCCCAAGGGAACACGTCTGTTTCTTCTGTCCATTTCATCTCAATCACCAGGTCATCAGGGACCCATGCTTCTCTTCAGAGCCCTGGCCTGGGGGAGGTGAACCTGGCCAGTGTGAGCCACCTGCCTCCTGTACCCCACCCCCACTCCCACCTTCAGGGCTGCTGTGAGACAGGGAATTCCAGGGAAGAACTTCCGGCATCTGGGCCCTACCTAGATAATATTTTTAGATTCCTCTGCTCCCTAGTGGCCTGCAAGGAAATTTGCAAGGACTTTTTTTTTTAAGGGTCAGAGTTTTAAAAACAAAAGCATCTTCCCTAGAAATTTTTGTGAATTGTTTGCACTTGTGCCTGTTTTAAATTAAACTTGAGTGTTCAAAACCTCCCGGCTTCCTGCTGTCTCTGGGATGGGAGCTGGATGCCAGGAGTAGGTGGCAGGGGTGGCCCCCTGCTGCCCCTCGCCACACAGCTCAGTGGTCCCAGCGGGCTGCAGAGTACCCAGGCCCCTGCTGACCGAGGCCAGAGGAGGGACACAGGAAGTGACAGGCCCCTGGGACTGAGGGAGACAGGAAGGCAGGGCTCCTTCCCTCCCCCGGGAGAACGCGCCTTCTGGGAAAGACCGGGTCAAGCGCCTGCCCACATCGCTTCTCCCTCCTCCTGCCAGCTGCCCACTCCCTGGACCCCCAGCAAGTGACCAGAAACTTCCAGCGAGAAAGCCATCCCCATGGAGGGAGAGGGTGTGGCCCCAGAGGAGAGCAGAGCGGGCCTGTGGTTCTGGATAGGGGCGCGTCAGTGGATGAGACTATCCTACCGATTCCAGTACCCTCTTCCTTCCAGAACTCCCAATGTTCACGGACATCTCTTAGGGGTAAGAGGCCATCCAGACCGCTGCCCGGGGGCTGTAGTCCCAGCCCCAGTGGCTCCGTGGGAAGCGGTGCCTGTGACTTCCCCGCTGGAGGAGCCCTGGGAGGCTGGGATGGAGGGGACCTCCCCAGGACGCAGCGCCTCCCTCCACCTCCGCGTCAGGAGAGGCTGCTAAGGCAAACAGAGGCCAGTTCTCACGACGGAACAACACTGGGTTTATTAACTGCTCTTCTGAGTTCTCAGAGTCCTTCCTCCACACGCCATCACTCCCAGAGCCGGTGGCTGTGTCCCTTGGCTTCACACACAGGCCAGCGCTGCCTTGATTTCCGAGTGCTGAGCCTCGGTGGCCTGGGCCACTCTTTGCAACAGCGAAAGCCACAGAAATGGGAAGGGCAGAGTATCTGGCGCAGTCTCTTCCAAAGTGGACAGAGCAAGGGGGGGCCCTAGGCTCGCTGCCCTGAGGCTGACCCCGAGCCGGAAGGACAGCAAGGCTGGCAGACGCACAGTTCTGTTCAGACGGGAGCCAGCTGCAAGGCTGCACAAACACGACTCAGCGGCCAGGCCCCGGCTGTCCCACAGGGAGAAGCCCTCACCCGTGGGCTACCCAGTAAAGAGGGTCCCGGGTGGCATCCATCCAGGAAGCCGCTTGTCAGAGACGCTGGAGAGATGACCCCTCTTCTGATACAGTGCAGGACCCAGACCTCCTGCTGTTTTTAAGCCAAAATACTAGTCTCCTTCCATCACCATAAACTTCCTTCAAAGTCAACCCAGCGGAAGAAGGGCCCAGTGACCAGGCAAGGATCCGAAGGAAGCCGTTTGCACGTAGGGGGCCCGCCAGCCCCTCCTCATCCCCTCGGGCTTCTCCGGTGCTCCCGTGTGGCTCGCCCACCCTGCAGACCGCGGATTCTTGGGGAGAGGGCAGAGCAGCTCAGCAAAGGAAGCAAATGTCAGGAGAGCGGGACCCGAGATTTGGAAATCCTAACGGAAGGGCTGGCGGCTCCCGTTTGCGGGCAGAGGGCAGGAGCTCTTGGGGCACGGGCCCTTAACTTGAAAGATGAACCCGAGCTCCCACTGCTCCCCTGTGAGAGTTTTTGGTTCACTGGCCCTCACTTCATGCTACGAAGGGACTTCAAGTATCCGGATTTAATGTTTCACAAGAGGAGGAGGATGCGCGCGGGGGAAGAACCCGAGACGCGCGGCTTTGCTGCCGGGAGAGCGCGGCACCGCCACCAGGGGGCACCAGAGATCACGTCCGGCTCGCGCGCCTCGGCGGCCTCGCGGATCTGGGGTGGCTGGGTGCCCACACTGCGCCTGACACCTGCACCGGCCCCGTTCCCCATCTCCTTCCCACACGCCCCAGGCCCAGTTTCTCCGCACGGCCATTTTCGCTTCGGGCAGTTGCCTCGGAGTTTCTGGTCTGCAACCTTCCGTTCGGGAAAGACGTCTTGCGAAGACCGCAGCGCAGGCAGGTGAGGAGCTGTGCGCTGCACCCTCGAGGTTCAGAAAATGAGCCCCACCAGCCGCCACAGGCGGGCAGAACGCCCCGACACGTGCGCTGGCGCCGCCGCACGGTCCTAGAGCCCACGGGCTCCTACACGCCCCCCTTGCCCGCCCCCTCGCTAGGCGGGTGGGTATAAAGAGTCGGAGGGCGCGGGCAGGAGAGGACGTGGGACTCCGCGGGGAAGAGGCTTTTCGCTGCCTCTCCGAGGTGGCCCGTGACTCACTAGTCCGCCCGGAGGTGAAGCTGGGCTGGGCCGCGTTCCGCGCGGCGGCGTGGACGCAGGGGTTTCCACCCCTACCGTCCAGCATCCGCCTGCCTATCGCGGGGCGGTTCCGCGGGCGCCTTCCGGCTCTCGCCGGAGTCTGATGTAATTTAAGCCCGTACCTGCAGCTCGTGTGGGCTCCCGACTCCCGCGCGCTGCGGTTTCACGCGGCAAACACTTCAGTCAATTATCCCCCTCGCGGAGCTGCTATTTAAAGAGATATTGTCAGGTTCTTAAGCCTCGGATCAGACCCGCTGCTTACTGCTTCAGAGACAAAGGCTCAGAACACGAGTTCTTTGGGGATTGGAAGCAGCACAATTAAGCAAAGCCGTTGCCACCGTTGCACCCTGCTGAAGCACCCACGTGCGGGCCGGGGGCGCGGGGAGGGGCGGGCAGGAGGCGCCGAGTGTCTGCCTGTTTCACGCCTCTGGCAGTGGAAGGAAGGCTGGGCCACGAGGGGAGCGGCGCAGCCTTAGTCTGGGGAGGGGGTGCTGGGGCGGTGACCCCACCTTGCCAATTAGGTCCTGGGTCTGCCTGGGGCAGAAGCAGAGGGACCCGGAGTTAGCCGGAAGCTGGTTCAGGGGGCTCTGCCACCCGCAAAATACCAGCTCTCCTAGTCTTGAGGCAGGAGTTTGTCCCCAGATTCTTTCCTCATCGCGCTGCTGTCCAGGAAGGCTCGGGGACCCCTCTCGGTCCTCCCCAACTCTGACTTCGGGAGGGAAGGGAGGCGGGTACGCTGGCATTGCCAGCAGCGTAACTTGGTGGGGGTCGAGGCCTTTGCCCAGGGAAGGCCATGGGGCAGGGGCCTACAAGCACCTAGCAGCCTTAGGGATCCACCATCCGAGCAGGGAGGCAGGCTGCAGCCTATGGAACCAGTGTCCAGGGACGAGACAGGCAGGGGGTACGGAAGCCCAGCCGCTTGGGCAAGGGCATACCAGCGAGCACAAAAGGCTGGGGGAAGGGGTTGGTGGGAGTATCGTCTTGGTGGCGAAACGGGCTCTGAGGCGGGGGCAGGAGTCGAGGCGGACCCCCGAGAAAGTGAGGGACCTGGAAGGCAGGGAGAAATGTCAGCGGAGCAGAACGGAAGCCCGGGGGTGCAGGGCTCGCGTCTCGGGGCGCTTTACCGCGGGGCTTGCAGCGCCACAGCCTCGGCGCCAGCCTGCCAAGCCTTCGGCCCAGGCGTTGAGCCCGGCAGGGCGTCGGCCTCGAACTCCGGGCCACTCTCAGACCCTGGCGCATCTCCGACCAAGCTCGGGATGTCTGGGGCTGTGGAGCGTCGGCGCAAACCCAGGCGGCCAGAGCCGGGGCCGCCCTCTGGGTGGGGGCTAAGGCCGATGGGGGCTTGCACCGAGGCTGGGGGCGCTCCCTCCAGCACCTCGTGGGAGCGCCACCGCCCAGTTCCCGAAGACTGGGGTGAGTTTGGCCGCGCCATGAGGGCCCCCGCCCGTAGGCGAGCCGCCTCCTCCTCCGTCACCGCACCCAGCGCCAGGCTCATGCTCCGGCCCAGCTCGGGCCGCTCGCAGCCCTGCGCCCGATGCCGGCCCGAGCCCTTGCCGGCTGAGCCGGCCTCAATGCCGTGGCCATGACCCTGGCCGTGGCCGTGGCCGCCCGCCGCTCGTGCAAAGCGCGCCAGGAGAGGCCGCGGTAGGCGGCGGGGGCTGGGTCGTCGACGCTCCGGGCTGGGCGCGGGGGCTGGGCGGCCAGGGGGGCTATCGGAGTTGGAGCCCCGCGCCGCGGCGGCGGCCGCAGCACGGCCCCAGGGCCCGGTGAGGGCCTGCACGCAGGTCCCGTGGCCGCGGGAGGCGGCCAGCTGCAGCGCGGTGAGGCCTGCCCGGTTGGTGCGGTCGAGGCGCAGGCCGAGGCGGCGGAAGGAGCGCACCAGGAACTCGAGCACTGCCCCATGGCCGCACGCCGCCGCCCACATAACGGGGCTGTTGCCCGCCGAGTCGGCAGCTTCGGGGTCACCGCTGAACTGCACGAGCAGCTGCACGGCGTCCAGGTGGCCTCGCTCGCACGCCAGGCTGAGGGCCGTGCGGCCGCGCTCGTCCCGCAGGTTCACGGCCGCACCCTGCTCCAGCAGCAGCCGCACGAAGCGCGCGCGCAGCGCGGGGTCCGGCAGCCCCACGGCCACCATGAGCGGCGTGCGGCCCTGCTCGGCGCGGCAGTCGATGATGCTGCGGTCCAGCGCGTCCAGCACGAAGCGGGCCAAGTGCACTTTGCCCGCCTGCATGGCTTCCAAGAAGGTGCGCGTACCCGCTCGGGGGCACAGGTCCTTGGGCTTGAGCATGGTCCCAGCCGCCGCCGCGCTCGCGTGCGGGTATCCCGGCAGCTCCGCACGGGGGCGCCCCTGTTCCCGTGCCCTGCGGGGCCCCGGCCGGAGTCTGAGCTCCGGCGCCGCTCCCTTCGCCAGTGGGCGGCTGCGGCCGAGGATCCTGCGGTGCCTACTCCGGTCGCCCCAGCGCCTCCCAGGTCGCACGCGGGCGTCTCGCTGCTCCTTCCCCGGGTCTCCCGCGCCTAGAGGCGTCGGTGGCTCGCAGCTCGGGGCGCCGCTCCCGGGCCGCCACGGGACGACGGGAGCTGAAGCTCAGCCCCCTCCTGAGCCTCCCGCTGCTGTCCCCGCGTCCGGCTCCCCTCGGTCTCTCGCGTTCGGGAGCCGCGCCACTCACCCGCACCCGGGACAGCCCCCGCTCTCCTGCTGAGACGGTGGCGCCAGCCTCCAGCCCTGGCGGGGCGCGCCGCTCCTCAAGCTGCTGGCGCCGCTCCTCCGCCTCCTCCCCTCTCGCGGGGGCCGGGCCTCGCAGCGCCGAGGCGCTTGCTCCTTGCTTGGGGGGCTCAACGGCCCGGGAGCCGCCGCCCCGCCTGGGTACCCGGCTTTATAGCCTCGGGGGTCTCCATGGCAATAGGTGTCCTGGGAGCAAGCTGCTCCGTCAGGGCAGAGACGGACGCGGCGGGGGAGACCGCCCCTGACCCCCACCGCTTCGTGGGCCACGAAGTCGGGGAGCGGCTCCTCCTCCGCGCTCCCCTGGGAATGCGGCGGCGGTTGCGGGGCGGGGGCGGGGGCTGCTCGCCGGGGGCCACATGCACCCGACCCGGCCAATCCCAAAGTCGCAGTCTTCTCTCCCCGCCCTCCGCCCCCACCGGAGTCGGCTCCTTAGAAACTGGCGGGACCCCGGGCTCGTCCGAGGAGGATGGAGAGCTGCTTCCAATGGTCCGTGGCGAAAGGAAATGGAACCCCACTAGGGCGAGGTGGACGGGGTGCGAGTCTGGGGTGGCGGCGAGAGGCAGAAGACGAGGAGTCATTTGGGAGAGGGTGTACCTGTATCGCAGGCTGGAGGGCGGCGCTCAGTCTGGCTGCGAACTGCCACTCGAAGTGCAGCGAATCACGCGCTCACTCACAATTGTGCCTCCCGCACACGCTCTGAGTCCTCGCAGCGAGGGCGGGCGAGGGTGTGCGCGCTCAGAGCTCAGACGTCTCCCACCCCGTCAGTGCGCCCGCGGTCGGCTCCGCGCCTGCCGAGCGGGCGGAACGTAGACGCCGCGTCCTGGGACCCGAGAGGGTGGTGGGCGCGCCGGCGGCTCCCCGGCGCCGCCATCCCCAAAAGAGCACGGAGCAGGGTTCCCTCTAGGGTGCAAAATCACCCACTCCCGGACCACAGGGTTCTGGCCCTGACCACCCGCGGACTCCTTAGGAGAAAAGATCATGAGTTCCATTTTCCACGAGATGCTCGGAAAATGGCGACGCCCCGCCTGGCTTGGGACGAGGGGAGGCGAGGAGCAGGGCTGCGATGAGTATTTGTCATGGAAGAAATGGCTTCGCCAGGTATCGGCGCAGTCCGGATTCCTGAGAGTTTTCCATGAGTAGGACGTTGTGTTCCCAGCGGCGGATTAATAGAGGCAGAAGCGGCTCTGGATGGGAGAGACCCCCTCTTACGGGGTTGGGGGGTGGTGCAGTCACCCGGGGACCGTACGCCTCCGCCTCATCCCAGGGCACGCGGTCCAGGGGATCAGAACAGGCTTTGGCGCTCGTTCAAAGAGGAAGCCGACCTGGGGGCTCAGGAATCAGCAGGGACATTCCCGCTGTGGCTTGGGAGCAGGGGAAAACGCCCCTAGGTGACCCTTCCAGTCAGAGGCAGGAAATAAGGGGAAGAATGGAGGGGTCCTGGGCAGAGTAACAGATGCCAGGGAAAGGCAGGGTCGAGGTGGGCTCAGACCAGGCTCACACCTCTCTCCAGCTCCAGGCTCTGCAGATGCCAGGCCAGGTCTGGGAACAGGGACACCCCACACACACACCTCTGTCATGGGGTACATATGAAGTAGACTTGCGCACACCTTGAGCACCCCCTTCTCCTTTTCCTTATTGCATTTTTTTAAGCCCTGTGTGGAGGCTCTGCCAGTGCTTTCCTGGTGTCCCAGAAAGGGCTCAGTGTTTGACATCAGTGAAGTCGCAGCTTGGAGGCATTTACTAGCCGGGTGGCTCCAGGCCTGCATATTCTCGTCTGCTCCACCCGTGGGCCAGGCAAGCTTAAATGAGAGTGTCAACAAGAGAGCTACAGTTATTTAGAGTGTGGCCCCAAAGCCCAGTGCCACCCCCAGAGCTGGTGCTCTGGGAGTGGGTAGAGATTCGCCACCCCCAGGCAGCAGAAGGCTTTTCTCCCCTCCCCCAGAATCCGCGTGTGGCCTGAGGCTGTGTGGCACCTCCCAGTTGGAGGAGTGAGGCAGCAGGCGCCCAGGACGTGCATCTCTTGGTCTTGAAGAGCCATGCCCACTCCTCCCTGAGCTGGCTCGGCTTCCCTTAAACAGCTCCTTGCAGTGGCTGCAGAGAGTTCCTGGGGAGAGCAGGTGCCCTTCTCTGGCTTGGCAGAGAGCAGAGGGCTGGGCGCCCGGGGGGAGGAGCAGCTGGTTCCATTCAGCCCAGCGGGCATGGCCATCCCAGCCAGGCCTGTGTTGGGCTGGAGACATGGCGCTGGGTCTCGGGCCCCTGCTCTGACTTCCCTGTGGCTCTGGTGTGTTCTGAACAGAGCAGAAGCAAAGCTGGGAAAAGCTGAGCCTGCCGCAGAGCACAGAGGCAGCCACCGCCGGAATTAGAAGCTGTCACTTAGGGAGCTGAGGGCTGACAGGAGCCGGAGCCGAGGCAGGCAGGGGGCAGGCAGGCGCGCCACACTCCGCCTCCCCTCCCACCTGCCCAGCCCCGCCACCCAGCTGCCAGGAGGGCTTCCTCCAGGGAGTGCCTCAGTCTGCCGCCTATCGCTCTGTCTGCAACTGCTCCCACTCCAGGACCCCCTTCTTTTCTCCTCAGGTGTCGCCAGCCCCCTCTCCGTGTCACGTTGCACCAGCTCGGCAGGGCTGGGCCTGGTGGCACGTGTCGGAGATCCAGAGAGCTGCCGCTGGGGCAGGAGGCAGGGTGAGTCAGCCGGGCACTCCAGCTTCTGAGTCAGCTGTGGGACCGGGAAAGGGGCAGGGACCCCTCCGTCGGTGCCGAAGCAGAAACTGAAGCATGGCAAGTAGAAAGGGACTCATGCCGCAGTCACCCAGCAGGGCTGGAGCCCAGGTGCCCTTCACCTGCCCCTGTGCCCCAAGGGGGAGCACCAGCTTTTCCTGTGCACATCCCAGCAGCCAGAGCTGAGTTCATCTCCAGGGCCCAGACTGGGCCTTGCCCAGGGGACAGAAAGCAGCCAGGTGGGGAGCCAGGCTGCACAGAGGCCTCTCTCAGGGGCAGGTTACGTCCCTGCCCCACTCCTGGACTTGACAGCTGGTGACAGACACCAGAGGCAACAGCCTCAGCTTCCTCTTCTCCTGAACAGTCCCTGGCAATATCTATGGCTGCCCGGCGTGGGCTCCGTCTGGCTTCGGCTCTGGCTCACCTCTAGCGCGCCTGGGTCAGTAAGTTTCTCTGGGCCTGGATCATCATCCTCACAGCTCCTACCCTTGGGGGGCGGGAGGAGAGGCAGAGATGGAGGAGAGGCCAGGGTGGCTACATCCAGTGCGTGCCAGAGGCAGGGGACAGGCGGATCAATGCCAGGCTTCAGGCTTGGGGACGAGCAGTCTCCCTAGCCTCACCCTGCAACCAGGGCACCACTAGATCCCAGCAGGCAGGCCCCCAGAGGTCACGGACAGGGGGAGTTCTTGTTTATTTTCCGGAGGCACAGGTGCTCACAGCTAATGGCATCGCTGTAGTCTCTGACGGGAAAAGCACCTCTTCCCGGAATCAAGCCCCACCCTGCCTCTCCCAAGCCAGTGCCTGGCCCCCTTTGGGATTTGGGACCATGCTATTGACACAGCGAATGGCTTCCCACAAGCCCCTGGGGAGCAAGTCTGAGGGCTGCAGCAGGGGCCTGAGCACCTGACCGCTCGGTGTCTTCCCACAGGGGCTCGGGTGGGAGGCACCTTTGCACTGGGCTCTTCCCCAGCCCTGAGGGTAGAGATGAGAGGCCACACCTGGGGGCCAGAGGAGGCGGGGAGGGATGTCATTTTCCAGTGCTGTGGCATCAGGGCCATCAGAAGGAAAGAGTCCTGTTCAAGCACAGTGGCAGGGCCACTTCACTGGGCTCTGCAAGGGACGTCACCAGTGGCGCCGGGTTCAGCTCCTAAGGGGATTCTTCCTGCCTGCTTCACGTCAAGGACATTCCACTGCCCTGCCCCCTCCCCCCCCCCCCACCCGGCCCCGGCTGCGGAACAGAGGCCAGTGTAGGCAGGAAGGCTCGGGACAGGGCTCTTTAGTAGGGTAGGAAGGACAAAAATAAATAAACCTTGTAAGTTCAGAAGGGAAAATGATGGTACCCTTGTCAGGCAGCCCGAGTAGGGTGCATGCCGGCAAGTACCCACCCCAGACCTAGGCCTCCGGGTGGGTCGAGGGCCTGAAAGGCCACAGCCCTCCAGTCTCTGCTGCCCTTGGGCCACTCAGCCCAGCCGGCTTTTCCCTGCTGGCCTCCCATCCCCCACAGGCAGGAAAGACCCTCAGCCTGTGATTCTGGTTGGGGGTGGGGGGAGCCATCCCCTGGGAGCTTGGGAATAGCACCCGACTCTGCCTCAAGGAGCTGACCAGGAGGTGGGCTCTGAGCAGGCCTGAGCTGGGGCTTGGCAGCAGGGGTGAGCTGCCCATGGTGGGGCAGGCAGGTTTGGGATTTGGTCCTGCCTGAATCACAGTGCTAGAGGGGAAGTTGCAGGGGGGAAAGGGTGGGCATGAGGACAGGCAAAGTGGGGCCAGCACCCCGTTTTCTTCCTCCCAGCCCAGGTCCTCCTGCCCCCAACCACAGTATGATGCTCCTCTAGAGGCGGGCAGAGGGATGGGGGTACGGACTCAGCTTGGCCCCAGAGAGGCCCCTGCCCGTATCCTTGCTCCTTCTCCGGCCTGGAGTGCCAGGGCCCTGTGCTCCTCGGGGGATGGAGCCGCATCCCAGGGAAGGGCCTGAGCGTCCTCGCGGTGGGCATCAGAGGCGGCTCTCCTCTGCGTCCTCCGTGGCTGGGAGTGGATCCCGGTCACTGGGCTCCTTGCCAGGCTGGTCCCCAGCCTCGGGGAGGGCACAGGTCCTCACCAGCTCCTTCACCTCGGCCTCCAGGCCCTTCATCTTGGCCTCGTACTCAGCCAGTGCCTCCTGCTGGAACTGTGGGGACAGCAAGCACGGCTGCCTGGCTCAGCAGGGGCCCCTGCCCACTCTCCCTCCCCTGAACAGTGGAACAAGGAGCTGCCCAGCCCACCCAGAGCTCCCAGGAGATGGTGATGGGGGGATAGTAGGGCCTGTCCAGGATGCCTGCCAATGACAGCTGCAGAGTGGTCTCATCTGAGAGGGTCTGGGACCCACTGGTGAGGGAGGCTGGCCCCCTTGCCCTGGCCTCGGATAGGCAGGGCCCCGTCCCAGTTCTGCGGGGGGCCAAGGCAGTGCTCCTCTCACCTGCTTCTCCATGTCCCGGATCTGTTCCAGGCAGGCGGCCTGCTTTTCCTCCAGCTTCTCCTGGTACCGCTCCAGGTTCTCTGTCATCTGGGTGGGAGAGAGAGAGAGGCAGGGAATCAGGACAGCACCAACAGGAAACCTGGGTCAGAATCCAGCTCTAACTCCAGCTAAGCAGTTCTAGACTTGGGACAGAGACTGCAACCTTGGGCGGAGCTTTAACTTTGTAATCTGAGGATCGTGGTGCCTGTGCACTTGTGAAGCTTGTGTGGGCTTGTGAAGGAGCGTGTGAGACAGCCCAGGAGAAGCCCCTGGCACAGGCAGGGTGCAGCGGACAGCAGCCCTCTCGTTGGGCTATATCATCCCCAGGGAGCTGTATGTCCCTCTTTGGACTGCTCTTCACCCACTCACTGTAATGCCACCCCTCCCTGGCCAGCTATAGCCACGTTTCTATCCAGGGAAGCTGGCCAGAGATACCCCTCAGGCTGGCACTCCATCCTCCACACACAGGCCAGAAGCCAGGAGGCCCCTCCATTCCCAAACTACACGGACACTGCATCTGCTAAAGGCAAAGTCAGGGCCTGGGGCCCTGGCACTCAGGTGCGGAGAGCAAGGAAGATCCTCGGGGAGGGACGAAGCCTACTCTCACCTGTTTGACGACCTGTACCACTTCCTGGATGTGGGAGTTGTTGATCTCTCTCTTTAACCTGTTGGGGCAGTCAGAGTGTGAGAAAGGGGGCCAGCACTGTTGCGCAGTAGAGGTTGATCCTCTGCCTGCGGTGCCGACATCCCATATGGGCACTAGGGTTCTAGTCCTGGCTGCTCCTCTTCCAGTCCAGCTCTCTGCTGGGGCCTGGGAAAGCGGTAGAAGATGGCTTGGGCACTTGGGCCGCACCCACGAGGAAGACATGGAGGAAGCTCCTGGTTCCTGGCTTTGGATAGGCACAGCTCTGGCCCTTACAGCCATTTGGGGAGTGAACCAGCAGGTGGAAGACCTTTCTCTCTGTCTCTCCCTCTCAATTTCTGTAACTCTACCTTTCAAGTAAATAAATAAATTCTTTAGAGAAAGAAAGAAAGAAAGAAAGAAAGAAAGAAAGAAAGAAAGAAAGAAAGAAAGGCAGGCAGGCAGGCAGAAAGGCAGGCCAGGGGCCTCTGAGCACAGTTTGGTGGGATGAATGACGTCCCTTCAGGACGTGGGTGAATGAGAATCTGCGCCAGGGGAAGTGTGGCTGGGTCCCCAGCCTTCACCTCTCCCTGTACTCTCCTCAGAGCGCTCCACCCAGAGGTGACAGGTGGGCTCAATGCTTTCAGAGCCAGGGGCAAGGCCCCTCTCCCGGGAGCGAGTCCGGTCTTTCCACTCCGCCCGGGGCCTGCCCTGGCCGGGCCTCACCTTTCCTGGGCCATCTTGTCTGTGGTGACTCTGGTCATGGCCTGGATCCGCTCCAGCCTCTTGGCCTCCAGCTTTTTCTTCATCTCTTTGGTGTCACTGCAGAGAGAGGGGCATGAGGGAGGGGGCTGGGGCGGCTGAGCCCTGGCCGGGAGAGGGGGCTGGGGTCTCGTACTTCTCCGAGGACTCCCTGAGGGTCTTCAGCTCGGCCGCGTGTTTCTCTCGGGCCAGCTCCATCATCTTGGCGACTTGCTGCAGGCAGAGGAAGCAGTCTTGGATGGGTTTGGCGGAGCAGGTGCGGGAGGCCGGCCGTCCCCTGCCCCGCCCCCGCACTGTACCACACCTCGGCCGCGTGCTGCTCCCTGCGCGACAGGACGCACTGGCACTGCTCCTCGCCCTGTCGCTGTAGCTCCAGCCGCAGCCGGTCCTTCAGCTCCCGCACGAGCGTGTCCGCGCCCTCGCCCTCCGCCAGCACTGTGCCGGGGGCCTCCTCGCCGGTCAGCGTCCTGCGGAAACCACGTGGGGCCAGGCCATGAGCCCGCGGCCACTGGTGCACGCGAGGTGGAGCGCAGGGGCAGCGGCACCGCCCTTACCTCTTCTTGCGGGAACCCTTGCCCGGGCCGAGCTTCCAGACCCCGCAGCCCCCGGCGCTCAGCGGGCCCAGCTCTGCCAGCTGCGCCGCGCCCCGCTGCAGCAGCTCTTCCCAGCGCCGGGCACCGCGCCGCTGCAGCTCCCGCAGCTCCTTCTCCTGCCGCCGCTGCAGCTTCACGACGCTCTTCAGTTCCCGCAGCTCTTCCAGGCTGGCCGTGTGCGGCTCTGCGGGGGCCTGGGTGAGGCACTGCCGCCCAGCCCCCCACCCCCACCCCCCCCCCCGCCCCGAGAGCCCTGGCCCCTCTCCTGGCTCAGCACCAAGTCCACCGCACTCAGCGGCCTTACAGGTAGCTTCTTTCGCGGTGCCCTCCTTCACCCTGGGGCTTGCGTGGGCCCGGGGCCAGGCTAGACTCTGCAGGGTTCCTCCCTGCCCCCTACCGTGGCCCTTGCCTGGACTGGCCTTCAGACCCAGACTCTCCCTCCCTCGCCAGGTGAAAGGCCTCGTTTTTTTTTTTTTGTTGTTGTTTGTTTGTTTGTTTGCTTTTTTTTAGAGCTGCTGAGTGCAGTCAAACAGGTGGCGGACCCCAAATGCATACCTGCTGACCCGTTGTTGGTGGGGGCTGATGCCCCATTGACCTGGCCAACAGCTGGGCTCCCAGATGAGAAGGGTTTCTGCACAGAAGCAGTCTATTGGGAAGATGAGGGGCAGCACTCCGCCCCTCCCCCACTGCCCCCGGAGAGGGCAGGGTTCCTGGGGTCCCCTGGCAGGGGTCCAGGTGACACTGACCTCAGTCACACCACCTGTGGCCTCCTTGAGCTTCAAAGACTTCTTGTCGTGGGCGTTGAAGAACTTGATGGGGTTGGCGAGGGCCACAGTGAGATCTGGGGACACAGGGCGTTCCGGGCCTGCTGTGTTGGGGTACATACCTGGAAGTGGCCCCTGTCCTCACCCTCCCGGCATGACGCACTGTCCTGGCCCACTGTGGAGGCTGGCTGAGGGAAGGGGGAAGAGAGAATGACAGCCCGGGGGCCCCTACCTGCCCAGGCGTCAGGGACGTAGTCTTTCATCTCCAGGAAGACGAAGAGCGCCGGCATGGTGAGGGGCATGTTGCTCTCGCTGTGCAGGCACAGGTGGTGGTATCCTGGTGGGCGGGAGGGGCGGCCGGTGAGCCGGCCCCACACACTGGCTTAACAGTCAGCTGTAGATACCGCACCTTCTTGGCTGTGTGACTTTGGTAGGTTACTTTAACCCTGAGACTTTCCCCATCTGTGAAATGGGGATGATGGCGTCTACCGTGTGTGTTTAAGGTGGGGATGCGGTGGGACTGTGTTCTTAGCTGTGAGTGCATTTTGAGTGTGTGTAGCCATTGGCTACTTGGGGAAACTGCCCCAGCAGTCTGAGAACATGACATTGTGTTGGGTGGGCGGGGCCCCATCCCTGTGAGGTGCCCGGGAGTGGTCCAATTCCTGCCCCGCCCTTCAGGGCTAATAGTGGGAGGGAAGCAGGCAGGGCCTCGGGGTCCCCCCTCTGAGGTTTCCGCTCCCTCTAGACCGGTGTCTGGTGCTGGCTGGGGGCTCGGAGTTCCTGGAGACCCTGCAGAAGGACTCTGCTCCTCACCAGCATTTAGGGCGTTGATGGGTATGATGCGGTGTCCGAGAAACTTGCTGCCTTCCTCCATCACAGCCACCCGGAGGGAGGCCAGCTCGGGCACCAATATCTGGGGAGAGGGGAGGACAGGCCAAGCTGGGGAGGGGAGAGGGAGCTAAGCTGCCCCTGTCGCCCCTGTCCCTGGCTCCAGAAGGCTTTGCATCAGTGTGAGAACACGGCAGGTGTCACCAGACTCGGTGAGGACAGACTGAGGGCACCCTCTAGGCCACATACCTGGACATCCTCACAGCTCATGCATGGCTAGTCTTAGTGGTGGGAGAAGGGCTGGAAGTACAGCCCAGGGCTGTGGGGACCTGATGCGGACAGCCCTTGGCAGCTTTGTCCACCTATGTCCCATGGGCACAAGACTCCCATGATCCCACGGGAGCCTGAACCCTAGGCCAGGTGTCCATATTTCTGCCTCGAATCCTAGCATGTACACCTGCAGCAACCGTCCACCAGGTGAACATCTATAAACCTGAGGTCGGGTCTCTTGAAGCTTGGGGGGTGCAGGCGAGGGGTGGGAGAGGAGTGGGAGGAGCAGGAAGCTCCTTTTATATATTTTGTGTCTGTGAGTAGAGGCCAAGAGCCAGGGACAGAGCCAGCTCCTGCCCTGCCCTGCCCTGTCCTAGCCCGAACCTTCTCAAAGACGAAGGGCTCCTCCTTCCACACAGGATTGATGGAGTTGGTATTAGGGGACAGCTTGGTGCGATAGCGCCTCTTGGGGTCCCCGGGAAGGCCAAACAACTCCACTTCCACATAGGTGCGCACGCTGCGTTCCGACAGGAACTGCCCCGAGATCACCTGGGGGTGGGGGCCGTGAGGGGCCGCATCAGACCCCCCCCCCAGGCACCCAGGGCCCGGCTCCCTATGGCTGAAGCTTCCATTCCTGAGCTGCGTGAAGAGCCCCATCAGCTCTGGCCCCTGGGGAGAGGCTGTGGGGATCCAAGGTTATAGCTGAGCTCTGAGGACCGGGGTGCTCCCAGGATCCTCGGAAGAGGTCCGCCCCCATCCTGGCCACCCTCCCCAGCCACGGAGGGAGTGACGCCCTCCCCAGGGCCTGGGGCTCCTGTTGCCCCACTCTGCCCACTCTCTCCCCTCCCCCCAGCCCAGCCTCAGCCCTTCCCGTTGGTTTCCATGGGGACCAAGAGGCAGCCTCCAGCGTGAGGAGGAGGCAGTTTCCAAGGCAACTTGCTGCTGCGAACTGGCTGGGGCTGAAGTTTTCAGGATGTTGGGGGAGGGGTTGGGGGGGGCGTGCCCTTCTTTTCAAGACCCCAGCCCTCCCGGCCACTTGTCTGCCTCGGGGCCTTGCCGTAATGGCGAGGGTGGTGGCTACCACCACGTCGATGCGGTCCACTGAGAAGGGATTGAACTGCTTGTCCGGCCGGCGCATGAACTCGTGCTTGAGGAGGTAGCCGCTCTGCCCGTTGAACTCAAACAGCGCCATGTTCTGCTGCATGGGCAGGTCTGGGGGGCCGAGGACACCGGTGAGGAAGGCCTGGGTCTGTGCCCGGTCTCAGGCTCCTACGTTCCCCAGCCTCTCTGGTTGTGGGAATCGGGAGGGTGTAGACACGAGGCTGAGGGCTCCCCTTGGGGCATCTCATCTCTCAGGAAGTGTCTAGAGTCAGCCGGGATGGACACACACAGGGGGACGGCGCGGCAGGTGCATTCTCATAGGCAGCCAGAACCCATGCCAGCCCCCTGGCGCAGTCCCCTGCGTACTGACGCACGTGCAGCCACGCAGGCCTGAGCGAATACCTTTGTACCCCCAAGTGCTCACACATCTGGGCATGTTCCAGAGCCTGAACAAACATCAGGGCACCTGTTCTAAAACCCCCACCCCGCCCATCGGTGACTGGGTGCAGGTGGGAGTGGCCAGGCCAGGGAAGGGTTTCCAGGGCCTGGGAGCGTCCTCACCCATAGTCTGGAAGTTGAGGGCGACCATCTGGCAGCCGGCGTTCCAGAACATCTGGGGCATGTAGTTGGAGGAGTCCATGCGGGTGCCCTTGGGGTAAATGCGGCTCATCTGGCGCTTGTTGTATCTGCCCACGGGTATAGGAGACCGGCCAGGCTGTGTGCACCAGGAGGCCCCAACAGGCTACCTGACAGCCCTGCCCCCAGGCCTCACCCCACTCCCCCCTCCAGCCAGGGACCCCAGCAGTTGAAGCTTCAAGGATACTCCACAAACTGCACGGAGGCCTTGGAGAGCAGGTCATAAGCCTTGAGCTCGGTGAAGGAGGAGATGACATAGCTGCGGTTCTTCTCTGTGTCGGGACAAAGAGCAGGGGGGTCCTCTGCAGGCCGCCCCTCCCCCGCCGCGCAGCCCTCCTCTTGGGGGCAGCTCCCTCTAGCCGGGAAATGCCTCCACCCCAGCCTTCCCACCAAGGTCTGAGGGTGTAGGGGCCACCTCTGCAGGGAATGTGTGGGTGACTGTGTGTGCTGGGGGCAAGGGTACTCGCAGCTGTGTGCCGTGGTCCTGGATGGGTACAGGGTGTGGGGAACACACACACACAGAGTATGAGCACGTGTACGGCAAGGGTAACACATGCCATGCGCATGCCCTGTGTGGGCGCGGGCTGCAGGCTTCGGGACGAGGCATGGATTCTGTGCAAGGGCCAGCAGCTGTGCACAGGGGTGTGCGGGAAGAGGCGCTCATGTTGGGGACATTGCTGGGGGGGTGGTGAGAGGAACACCCTGTGTGTGTGTCCAGAAGGAGAGCAGCCTAGGCGTATGGGAGAGAGGAGAGATCCCAGGAGGTGGGTGTGCACTGGCCACAGCTGGCTCCCAGGAAGTCTCAACCCCAGGAGCCACAGTGCCTGCAGCCTAGCTGAGGTGGCCCTGTCATGATGACCTGCCTGTCACTGACATACTCCAGAGCATTCTGCTTGGTGCCAAGTTGTCAGTACGGCACCAGCAGACTGGGAGCCAGGGCCACTTAAGCAAGCCCTGGGCCGGGCTCCTCTGCTGGGTGTTTATAGACAGGGCCCCAGGCCAAGGCAGGAGGGGCCGCCCCTTCCTCTGGCCACGCCCATGCAGCTGCTCTGCTGTGCGCTGTGCGCATAGCCCTCTCCTAGCCCAGCCTGCCCTCTGCTCACCCTGCCTGCTGCGCACTTACGGGCAGAGAACTCGAAGGAGATGAACTTGGTGGGCTGGATGTAATTGACCAGGCTGGACATTTCCTCGTAGGCTGTCACCTCCAGGCCTGCTGTGCCCTGGGAGTGAGGGACGAGGAGGATGGGGCTGAGCCTGGGAGCCTGGTCCTCTGGGCTCCGCCCGGCCCACAGAGGACTCCGAGTGGAGGAGGACAAAGGGGCTCAGGGCCTCTCCACGCACCTCATCCGACTGCATCTTCTTTATCTCTTCTTCGTCCAGGTTTCCCGATGACACCTCCTCTTCCTCCTCCACCTCCTCCTCTTCCAGCTCAGGTGCCGCCTCTCCCATCCACACTGCCACGCACAGTGTGGTCAGCCCCAGCTCCCTGGCCCCAGGCCTTTGACCTATCACACCCCACTCCCGGCTGGCTGAGTCGTCCTTGTCCTCGCCCACCTGTGTCCTCACCACCGGGAGCACTGGGTGGGCAGCTGCCCTCGGCCTCCCCACCAGGCTCTTCGCTGGGCACTGCTGTGGCAGCAAACTGGTTCTTCTTGTTCTTAATGAGTATCTTGCCCCGCAGATCCTCAGGGCTGGGCAGAGGGATGCCTGGTTTCAGCTGTGGAGAGGAAGAGGGTGGGTGCCATCTCATCTTCAGGGTAGCTGTGCTCCTCTGCCCTCTGCCTACTGCTCTCCACTTGCCTCTCACCAGTCCCCCTCATCCCCATCCTCACTGACATAGACCCAGTTTATGCCTCAGCCTTCAACTTCCTCCAGGAAGCCTTCCCTGAATTCCCAGGACCAGCTCAGGACTCCCAGGGTCTCCCCTAACAACACTGGGCTGCAATAGCTCGACAACCCATCAGTCTCCTCACTAGAGGGTAGCAAACCCAAGGGACTGCCTCTTTGTCACTAACAGACCCCAAAGCCCAGTGCGGTGCCTGACACAGGATCCCAGACCCAAGATCCCGCCCTCCCACTTGAGTCCCCAGATCCTCCAGGGACATGGCCTCCCTAACCTGGTCCCCACTCGACCCCAGTGCCCAGCCCCCAGGCCCAGATGTTCCACAGCCGAGGGCACTCACAGGGAACTTCTCCAGGGGCTCAGTGAGCAGCATGTCCCCGAACATCGCCCGGCAGTACTCGGCCATCTTCGCCTGCTGGCGGGGTCTGTAGGGAGCGCGAGAGGGAGTGGGGGTCAGCGCTCGGCTGCAACCCTCTTGTCCATCCGTTTCTGCCCTTGACCGCCAGCCAGGGGTCCAGGAGGTGAGGGAGGCAGGTGTACTTGGTATCTCAAGGAGCTGCAGAGGGTGGCTGGGGGCAGCTTGGGAGAGGGCTGCCGTAGGCAGGAGACTGGGGCCGGGTCGAGAGTCAGGCCACATGGGCCTGGGTACGCACGAGTCCACGTGGTTCTCAAACGACAGGATGACAGGATAGGGGGATGTCTTAAAGGCGCTCTCTGCGATGGCTTCAATTGCTTCCTGGAGGAGAAGGCGCTCGCTGGAGAGCAGGGCTGTGCACTGGCTGCCCCTCCCCCATGGCACCTGTCCCCACCTCCACCCCTCCAGGTTCAAGATGCACAGATACCTGCATGGCCACGGTTGGCCTGGTCCCTGCTGCCCACTCTGTTCCCCGCTCTGGCCTGAGTTTCAGCCATTCCTCCCAGGCCCCCTACAGCTTCTAGCCCAGAGAACTTCCCTACGCACCTGCCACCGCTGCCAGGCCCCAGCCTCACCTTGAAGAAGATGTCTGTGGTCATGGTGAAACCATGGGTGATAATGGGCTCCTCGTCGGGGGGCTTCCCCTTCCAGCAGTCCAGCTCCACACAGCGGCAGCCGGACAGCAGCACCTGGCGGTACATCTCAGCCGAGGACAGGCCTGAGAACTGACCGGCTGAGCCAGAGGCGGGGGGAGGGCAGGGGCATGACTCAGGGGCACTCTGGCTCCCCCACCCCTATGCCCCACTCCCCCCGCTCCCCCTTGCCCCACCGCCGCTAGCAGGGTCTGCCTCTCCCAGACAAGGACGGGTCAAGAGTGAGATTGCCAGCCCACCCGTCAGGTAGGTGTTGTGCGAGGAGTTGATGAAGTAATGATTCAGGGGCTGCGTCATGTCGTGGTGGAGCAGCAGCTTGTCCTGGGCCAGCACACTGTTCTCTGGCCCGCAGAGAAACCAGACCATGCCCTCGGGGGACAGCTGGCCTGGGGCACAGGGGAGAGCAGTGGTCAGGGCTGCCTTCGTTGCCAGCGCAGGCAGGGCAGGGCCACAGAGGGGTGGGGGGTCCCCACGTGCTCACCCCTCTGCACATTGATCCCGCTGGGCTCATACTTTTCGATGAGGCCTTGCACCTGCTCGGGCCGCGCGGGTGGGAACAGCAGGGAGTTTAGCCGTGGGTCCCGCTGTTTCTGGTTGATGAACTTGGTCAGGTGCTCCTTGGTCATGTATGGTTTGGCCTTAGCGTGGCTGCAGGCCAGAGAGAGGAGCACGGGTCCATATCCTTTGGGCCTGGTGGCTTGGCCAACCCCTTTCTCAGGTGCCACTGCCTGGTTCCCAGTGTGGCTAAGGGAAGAGTGGATTTCCAGCCCACAGCCCTCCCCCTGCCTAGCCCAGGCCAGCCTAGCCCAAGAGGCTCACTAGGAAGTGAAGATCTCGTCTATTTCTGGCCGAGGACACAGGCTCATGAGGAAGCTCTTGTACACGGATTCTGGGAAGTCCTCAGGATTGATGGCGTCGTTCTGGGGGAACAGTCACCTTGTCACCCCTGTCCCCACCTTCTCGGCTCAGAGCTGAGTACCACAGGCTAGGCCCAGGGGACCCAGGCAGACAGAGGAACATCCCAATGCCACGAGCACCTGCTTCTCCAGGCCCTGGTGGCCGAGCAGGGGGTGTGCTTAGCTGATCTGCCTTGCCCCTGACTTTGGACAGTGGCTGCTTCCCTAGCTGGAATGGGAGTAAGTGGTGCTGCTGCCAGGGCAATGAGCTCTTTCTAATTTTTTTTCTTTTTTTTTTTAGGCAGAAGACAAACTTTCAACTTGAATATAAGCAAACAAACAGAGCCCCAACATGGTAAGAAGCAAAAACTGGTAGAACTGGAGGGAGAAGCAGGGGATTCTACAGTAATAATGGGAAACACCCAAGGCATAAAGACCAAAACAAAGATAAATCAGATGTCGTCAGAATTGGAAGCCTTTGTGTTCCAAAGAACCACATCAAGAAAGTGAAACATAGAAAAAGTAACCATAGAATGGTTATTTGCAAATTAGGTATCTGATAGAGAGAGCAGTACAGACAAACCCACCGAAAGAAGGGCAATGGATTGGAGTAGACAGCTCTGCACAGAAGCAACACAAATGACCAGCAAGCACGTGACAGATGTCAATATCACCAGTGATTAGGGAAATGCAAATCAAAACCACAGCGAGATCTCACTTTCCCCTCGCTGCCCCGGCTGAAACAGCAGGCAGAGAGCAACAAGTGTCGGCAGCGTGTGTGAACGCTGGGCCTCCCATCCCACACTGCTGGGGTTGTAACACGATGTGGTCGCCTGGCAGTTCCTCCAAATGTTAAATATAGAGTCGCCACATGACCCCAAAACTTCACCCCTAGATGTGTATCCGGGAGAACTGAAAACATGTCCACACCGAATGACGTCCACAAATAGTCACAGCAGCTGTATCCAGAACAGCCAGAGTGGAAAAATCCCCAACTCTGACAATGCAAAGGAATGAAGTGCTAACCCATGCCACGACATGGATGAGCTGTGACGACGTCACACTGACAGTGAAGCCTCAACTCAGACGGCAGTAACCCGTGGTCCCCTTTACGTGCAGTGTCTGGAACAGACACTTCTCTAGCAATAAAACCCAGAGTAAGTTAGCAGTGTCCAGGGAGTCTGTGCCTTTGCAAGCCACCTCCAAAAAACCCTTAACTGTCCTTCAGGCCTGCACCAAGGGCTGGCAGACGGTCTGAGCAGAAGAACCAGAGGGGGTGGCTCCAAGCAAAGGGGACCTCTGCCAGGGGGACCAGAAAAGCAGTAAAATCAGAGGACGCAGTAGAGGCAGTGGCTGCGGACTGACAGCAGGCGAGCTGGGCCCCAGCGCGGCCTCGCCCATCCTCTCCCACCCCTGTGCCACTGACTTTGCCACAGGGAGTCACTAACTCCACAGAGCTATTTCAGGGGCGGAGCAGGGAGAGGGCATGGAATGTTCCTCCCGGGGCGCATGTGGGCAGGTGACCGACAGGGTCTTAGTTGTATTCATTGCTAATGTTCCAACCTCTTAGCAGGAGAAAACCCTCCGCAGGGCGCAGGTTATGACGCACACATCGGCTCTGGCCAAGGTGGCGGGGGCTGACATCCATCCCCCTGCCAGCCTCCAGCCCAGAAAGTTCTTTACTGTGATTCATATAAGACACCTCATGGGGTGACCCTGCTCACAATTTGTAATTTAAAAATAATTAACTAAAATGAATGGGGTTGGGGGGGAATGCTTTTCTGTATTGAGCTGAAGTCTGTGTCCTGGCAGCTCCCACCCTTGGTTCTGTTCCTCTCCCCCGCGCCCGCCCAGCAGAGCCAGCCCCTTCCTGTGGCTGTCAGATCCCCGCAGACTGCCTGCCTCCTGTCCCTGCTCACCCGCCAGGGTGCACACCACGCCTGCAGCCGGCCCTGAGCACGGTCCAGCAGGCACTTCCCCTCCCCTGGCCCACTGCCACCCAGGGCAGGGGATGCAGACCTGCCCGCCTTGAACCTGGCACCTCACCCTCCAGCCCTGGTTCCACCTCTGTGCCTGCATCGGTAGCTGGTGGCTCTAGGGAAGCTGGCTTTTCAGGCTATTGATGGGACTATGATGTCATCCGTGTGCCTCCCCCACCCCTGACCCCCATCCGTGGCCAAGGTGCTCTCTGGTGGGAATGAGAGCACCGGGGCTGGGCCGTGGGATGGGGAACCGCTCACCTTGCCTTTCGGGAGGTGGCAGGCACCCAGAGCAGCTTCCACCCGCTTGCGGTCAGCAGGAAACATCTGGAAAAAACTGAAGGTGCGGAGAAAGGCAGCAGGCGGGGAAACAGGTGTCAGGCCTGAGAGGCAGGGCCGTGGGGAGCCAGCGGAGGTTTGGCCGGGCAGCTGGGCACTCACTTCTTCACAGGGATCTTCCCTTCAGGGTTGAGCTGCATCTTGAGCTTCACCAGGCTGCAGGGGCAGACAGCACCGTGAGAAGGCCCTGCGGCCGGCACACCAGGCCCCACGGGCTCAGGGCGGGCAGGCCGCGCGCTCACATCTTGTCCAGGAAGGTGCTGCGGGGGGCGTTGGCTGTCAGCGGGTGCTTGGCCAGGGCCAGGACATCCTCAGCCCAGTCCTGTCGGACAACAGAGCACAGCGGGCAGGCCCTTGACCACAAGGCTGAGCCTGGCCACCCTCACGGGGCAGGCAGGCGTCTCCCGTGCGGTGGCAGGGGCTCCAGGCCGGCCCAGGGGCTCCCCGACGCACCTTGCCCACGTTCTCCTTGTAGGAGACGAAGTTGTGGAAGGTGAGGTCCACCATGTCGGGGCCGGACACCACGGTGAGGGTCTTCAGCAGGAAGTGGTTGTCGGGGAAGTCCATGTTGAAGACTTCACGGAGCTTCTGGCTCTGCAGCACGTGGCGCCGCGGTCAGGGTGGGAGGGGTCCACTGGGGCAGAGGCCCACTCCCGCCCCAGGTCTCAGCAGCTGCTATCCCGGAGAGGGCCCCAGGAAGAGATTAAGCAGGGCGCCGGCCCCAGGCATCCAGTCTGTTTTGTTCTCCACTTTTGTTAGATGAATTCTTAGCTCCCAGACTCAGGAAAGCCTGCTGCCCACCAACTCCTTGCCTCCCGCCAATTTCTCGCCCAGCATTAGGAAAATCAGCCTGGGCAGGGTGTAGGCAACACCTGGGGTGCCGGCCCTTCCCAGATCCTGGGGTGCCATGCCACCTCCTTGGCTGGGACTAGGGCCCTCCCCACCGCTTCCGGGAACCATTCTCCTTGCTCCAGGCATCAGGCCCCGGCCTCGGCCCAGTGGAGCTGGTGGCTGCACTGAGTCTGGACGGCTGCTATACCCACCTACCTTAGGCATCTTGGCAAACTTCCCAAAGCGGGTATCCCGGATGCTGGTGACATCCAGAAACTCCATCTCCTATGGCAGCAAAAAGGATGAGAGACCAGAACAAAGGGCAGAGAGCAGAGGGCTCCCACACTGCTTCAAATCGTGGCCAACTGCCCTCGCTGGATGCTACAACTAGGACCCCTGGAGTCCCACCTTCTCTTCCTATCCACCAGGTTCCCCCTGCTCATGCCCCCCCCCCCACTCGCTCCCTATCCCTTACTTCCCTGGCACAGGGGCTGTGACCAGCAGCCTCTCCCCCACCATCCCGTTCTCCCCCAGGCTCCCCTCGCCTGCCTCCTGCCTGGCTCTGAAAGCTTCCTCTGACCTCTGAGCCCCCGGTGCCCCCCGAGGCGCGGGCAGACTGTCATCCACGGCAGCAGCTCTTCATCCTGTCTCTCTCCCTCTACAGGGATGCTAAGGCTGGAGCACCTGCACCCCAGGTCCCGTAGGCTGCAGTGACCGTGTCTCCCCCTCACAGAAGCCCCTGTCCATAGAGCAGCCCTCAGAGCCCCCATTCCCGGTGATTCTCTCAGCCCCAGCATCTATGCCTCCACCCTCGCGTGGTCAGCAGGCAGCCTGGACTCTGGCTGACAGAAGCTCAGGCCACGGGAGGGAGGGCTGCCTCACCTTACTCTGATATGTCCAGTACAAGTAGTAACCCTTGGGATCCACACGGAGGATAACGGGGGAGGCCAAGGCGGTTTCCTGCAGAGAGAAGGGGTCAGCTCTCAGTTCTTCTTGTTAAAGATTTATTTATTTGAAAGACAGAGTTACAGAGAGCGGGAGAAATAGAGAGAGGTCTTCCATCTGCTGGTTCACTCCCCAAATGGCCGCAATGGCTGGAGTGGGCCAGGCCAAAGCCAGAAGCCAGGAGCTTCATCTGGGTCTCCCACGTGGGTTGCAGGGGCCCAAGCACTTGGGCCATCTTCCGATGCTTTCCCAGGTTATTAACAGGGAGCTGGATCGGAAGTAGAACAGCTGGGACTTGAACTAGTGCCCATATGGGATGTCAGCCATCGCAGGCAGCAACTTAACCAGTTACAGCACAATGCCAGCCAACAGCTCTCAGTTCTAAGACCTGGAGCCAGCTCCCCTGCCTGGGCTGGGGACTTCTGAGCTCATCACCGTCCTGGGAGGTGCCTGCCCCAGCAATCTGAAGGCATCTCCCTGTGATTTCTAGAGCCAAGAGCAGGGAGGGATAGGGGACAGGAGAGGCCATTTCTGGAAGAGAAGAGGTTTCCCCTCTGGACAGGATGTGGGCCCCCACCTCACCCTGCTCTCAAGGGTCACCCAGGACAGTTTGACACAGAAGAGCCAAGAGTCCAAACTCTTGCACCCACAACCTGACTTGTTCCCCTCCATGGATGCCCCCTGCCCCACCAGCCAACCAAGAAGACACTCAATGCCTTCCCACCTTCAGACCTAAGCAACTGAAACGCCTCTGCCTGAAGCACCAAGGACCAGGCTGCCACCCCCCCCAAAAAAAAGCCTTCCCTGAACCAGGCTGTGACAGCTGGGGTGTGGGGGCTGCTGGTTCACAGCTGGGGCTCATGGACTCCAGCCTAGTCGGCTTGCTGCTTGGGCCCTGAGCTTGGTGTTTGCTGACTGCACACAGGAATGAATGAGTGACGGGCCTGCCCCATCAGGGCAGGCCGAATGCAGCGTTTACAAAGGAAATGATCAAAAAGATCAGAGGCGGTCATTCTGGATGGGAAAGAGAAAGTGTGTGAGAAAGCCGATTCTGGAGAAAGCTGTGTTGCAAGCGCCACTCCCTTCCCCCACCCCCCAGTGAAGGGTTGGGGGTGCCTTGTCCCTTGCCATAAGCCCAGGGAGGAGCTTCAGGGCTTCAGGGACAGCTTTCGTGACCCCTGCAGAGTCAGGTGAGGCCAAGATTAATGATGGAGTTTTTAGTAAAACCAGGTTCTGAAATAGGATTGCTTTTTTGTCATGACCACTGGACAGCTACCCAAGAGGCAATACCGCGTCCACAGCCAGGAAGAGAGCTTGTCCCACCGAAGGGGCTGTGGAAGGTTACCTGGGGCCAGGATTGGATCACGTCACGTGCGCATGCGCGGTACTTATTCACCCTCACAGGTGCCTGTGCCCTGGGACGAGGCCTGGACATTCCTGCTCTCACAAGCCAGGGTCCAGGGAACACTCAGCGCCCCACAGAGGGAGAGGGAGCAGCCAGGTACTCAGGGGCTGGCGTGGCCTGTCTCCCCGCAGCTGACCCTCTCCCCATGCTGGCGCCTGCAGGAACTGAGAGACGCCACTTCATTTTTCACTCTGAGCCACTTCCTTCATCCCAGTGCCCCCCCCCCCCGCCCCGCACTGCTCCCAGGGGAGCAGGAAGTAGCTCACTACAGAGCCCTCTCACAGTCCAGGCAACCAGACTCCTCAGCCCGGCCCGCCCCAAAGGGCCTGGACCTGAAGACCTCTGAAGCCGGACAAGCCAGCCCTGGAGGCGCTCTCCTCTCTGTCTCCCCGCTGGGGCCTCCACACTGCCTGGGACCAGCACACTGGGCCAGCCTAGCCGCCACTTCTCCTGGAAGGAGGTCCCTAGGGGTCCAGGAGCAGCCTGACCTACGGCAACAGTGTTGGGGTCCCAGTGGGACCGGAGGCTGGAGGCAGGCCCCAGATCAGAGACAGGGTGCAGGGTGGAGCCAAGCCTTCCCCCTCCCCTGCTGACAACCTGGCAAGGGGAAGCAGAAGTCACGCAGCTGCTTCCCAGGCCTCCGCCGGCCCTTATGTCCAGGGCCTCTTGTGGCTGCCCCCGCGGCAGCTGGAGAAAAGCAGGCTTCCCTGCGACAGGCCCAGCGCCCAGTGGAGCCGGGAGAAGGAGCGGGGGTCTGGGATTCCTGCCAAAGCACACACAGGCCCAGCCTCCCTCCGCCCTGGGCACGCTATCCTCCCGTCCAGGCTGGGGGCTTAGGGAGATCCAGACCCCTGGGAAACCACCTCCGGGGACCCTCGGCGCCCACCCACTTCCCACACCTAGACCCGGAGCCTCAGCCCCGGGCTTGTTTATCCAGACAGCCACCCAGGCGCCGGGGTCCTGGGCGACGACGTCAAAGAATCCCCCACCGCGAAGCCGCCTGCCCGCCCCCGCAGCCCCAGGCCCGCCCGCCCACACTCACATCGTCCCATTTGATGAAGCGCTCGCCTTGGCTTAGATAGGCCTTCACCTGCGGGGGCAGCAGGACAGGGTTGAGTAGAGACATGGTTCCACGCGTGATCGCCGGCCGGGCAATGCAGACTCAGGCGTGCGGGAGGCGGAGGAAAGAGAGCGGGCGGCAGGACGGGCAGCCAGGCCAGGCTCACATGGTACCCGCCCCAGGTCTGTCCGGAAGTCTGGGTGCTCTTATAGCCCCTGGGGTGGCCGGGGCTGGGTGCAGGGCTGAAAGCGCGAGCCAGAGGCCCATCTGCCTTGTAAATCAGCCTCCTCCCGCCCTGCCCTGTACTGCCCTGGCTGCCAGCCGCGGGGGCTCTGGTCGCTGCTGCTGCCCTGGGGAACCCCCGCCCTTGCCGGTGCCCCAGCACTTCCTGCTCAGGGCTTCCTTCCCCGTGCTGGTCAGAAGCGAGAGGCGGGTAGTGACGCCTGGTGGCCTTGCAGGCAGGGCCTCCCGGTCCCACAGGTGGCCCCTGGTGGGATCTGGCCCGAGGAGGGGCCTGGAGGAAGACAACATGGAGGCCAGCTGGGACCCCAGTGGCTCCGGCCTGAACTGGGGGACTCTCTGGGAGAACGCACCCCCACGGGTCTGTCCCCAGAGCCTGGGACCACCCGTGGAGGTGAGAGTTTTGGGGGATAGGACAGAGCCCAGCAGGGATTGAGTGTTTTGCATAAGCAAACTTTGCTGCACCCAGCTTCTCTTTCCCAGTCCTTCCTCTCCATGAAAATGAGCTGCAGGTGAGGCAATTGGTTTCTCGCCCCCTGCTGGGACTCCCTCCTGTCCGCCACCGGGCCAGATGGAGGCCTGGCCCTGCACTGCCCAACCCCGGGAGTGGCCGTGCCACCAGCGTGCTCCCAGGCACCTCCTCCGCTCCGTATCTAGGGGCCTGGGCTGGGGCACTCAGGCCAGGAGGGCTGCTCTGTCCAGGAGAGGCTCAGCTCTGGGCCTCTTCTCCGGTGTGGGACTCTTACACGGCCCAGTCCCAGCGCGTCCAGCCCGGGCCCGGCTCAGCCCCCGCCCACATCCTCTTGCCTAACTCGCTCCTTGCTTATCACCCTTCCTAACCCAGCTCGGGAGGCAGGGTCTCTAGCCAAGACTTCCTTCCCTCTCAGGGCCTCGCTCTCTGCCCCAGGCCTCCAGCACCCTCCATCACAGGCCCCCACCCAGATTCCACAGCTGCCCCTGCTGGCAAGGGCAAGGGGATGAAGGCAGAGGGAGGAGAATTAAGATAGAGCTGGGGGCCGCAGCTCTACTGATTCTGAGCAGAAACATAATCTCTGGGAAAAGCAAGTCTGGGGCAGGTAGAGCTCCCTGCCTCCACTCCCCTCCTCTTGATCTCTCTCCTCCCTCCCTCCTGCCGGCATTGGGCCGCTCTGGCCCCCCTGGGATCGGGTTCCCTCTCTGTCTGTTTGAATGGATTTTGCAAGGGAAATCCCTGCCCCTTCCCAGAGCCCCTGCACCTGTCACCTGCAGGGCTTCGGACCCAGCACCCAACTCCCTTCCTCTTGTCTGCCCTGCAACCATCCGCCCTCTGTCCTCTGTGCACCTGGACAGCTAGATGCTGCCTGTCCCTCGGCCTGGGGAGGGGAAGGGGCAGCCTCCCTCTTATTTCAAGGATTCCAAGACGCCTCACTCTGGCCCTTTCCGTCTTGGGCTCCGGCTGCACAGAACAAAGCCTGATCCATCCTGAACCTGGGATGGCACTGGCCGTTCTCAAGACTCAGGGACCTTTGCTCTCTCGCCTGCATCTTGGCATCCCACAAAGCCAGGCCTGCAAACACAGAAAACCCAGGTGGCAAGGGAAGTGTTCACCAGAGATGGCCTTTATTGCTCATAAATCCGTTCAGGTTTTTCCATCTGGGAGCTGATTAGGAAAAATGCTAAATAGTAATAATGAAGTGGATGTGAAGAGAGTCAGGGAAGTCACACACAAATACCCAGTTTGAGAAACTGAGGCCTTGGGCTCCTGGGCTGAGCTGGGTGCAGGGCCAAGCGTGCCCGCAGGTGGGCAGCAGAAGGGTGAGGATGCCCCCTGCTGGGCACACATGAGAGCGTGCGCCCCTGGGGAAAGGCCCAGCTATCCAGGGAAAGCGAGCACTCAGTTCCCGGCAGACGCCTGTCCGTGGCGATTCAGAGACGCACGTGCTGTCAATTGGCCTGGGGCCAGCGAGGGCGCTAAGAGCCTGTGCGCAGCCTGGTGCCACCTCCCAGGAGCAGATCCCAAGTCCACTTGCTCACTTGGCAGTGTTGGGTGCCAATCACCTGCTTTGGCTTCCCAATCTGTTCTTCAGAGATGTTCCGTGGTAGAAGTTGAACTCAGATCTTCTGGTGTCACTTCCAGCCAAACAAGGGAGTCAGATTAGCTCAGCCTCTCGCCCAGTGCCTGGCCTGGCCTAATGAGGCAGTGAGGTTTGAGAGTGGGAAGATCTGTGTGTGTCTTGGGCCAACAGCTTGCTTACTTTTGGAATGGAGGTGGCTTGGTTATTACATCCTCTGGGGCCTGGCACAAGGAGCTACACTCACTACTCTATGAGCCCAGCCACTTACTAGCTGGTTTATCTTGTGATACTTAATCTTCCCGTGCCTCACCTTTCCTATCTGTAAAATGGGGATAATAATGGGTGTTTGCTTAAGATGCTGCGTAGGACACCCACCCTGCCCATATCAGAGTGTCTGGGTTTGAGTCCTGGTCCCTGTGCTCCTGACTCCAGCTTCCTTGCAATGCACACCTGCAAGACAGTGATGATGGCTCAAGTAGCCGGGTCCCACTTGGGAGACCTGGGTTGAATTCCTGCCTCTTGATTTCAGCCTGACACAGCCCAGGCTGTTGCAAGCATTTAGGAAATAAATCAGTGGATGGAGGCTCTTTCTCTCTCGCTCTCTCTGTTAGTCTCTGTCTCTGCCTCTGTCTCCACACTATAAATAAATAAATAAATGCAGCATTCAGGTGTATGTTCTTTCCACAACTCGTATCTTCACTGGTTCATTCTTTGGATTTTTTTAAAGATTTATTTATGTTCGAAAGGCAGAGTTACAGAGAGACAGGGAGAGACAGAGAGAGTGAGATCTTCCATTCATTGGTTCGCTCCCCAAATGGCTGCAATGGCCGAGGCTGGACTAGGCAGGAGCCAGGAGCCTGAAACTCCATCCTGATCGCACACATGGGTGGCAGGGGCCTAGGCCTTCCCAGGGGCATTAGCAAGGAGCTGGGTTGGAAGCAGAGCAGCTGGGGCACTCACATGGGATCCCAGTGTTGCAGGCAGTGGGTTAACCCACTTCTCCAAGCCAGTCCCTGTTCTTTGGATTTTTCCCCCAGCACTTTGTGCAGATTAGGGGCTGAATCCACCTTCCCAGTGCAAGCTGTTAGGGACACTCCTAGCTATGGGCTAAAGCAGGTCCAAGCTGCCTGAAGTCATGGAGTCAGGAACACGGGAGCTCCAGTCACGGCAAGTGCCAGCCTCCCAGCAGCCTGATACCCACCAGCTCCACCGCTGACGAGACAGGCACGAGAATGACGACAGCTGTCGAGCCGCCCAGCTGCGTGCACAGCTGTGGCTCCAGAGCCAGCACTATGCCCGCAAAGAGCTGGGGCAGGGCTGGGCTGCAGGTGCTCAGCGGGACAGGAGAGGCAAGGGATTAAGACCTCATGTCTCAGGGCTGGTGCTGTGGTGTGGCATAGTGGGTACAGCCACCACCTGCAGTGCCAGCATCCCATATGAGACCCGGCTGCTCCACTTCCTGTCCAGCTCTCTGCTATGGCTGAGAAAGCAGTAGAAGATGGCCCAGTCCTTGGGCCCCTGCACCTGTGTAGGAAACTCAGAAGAAGCTCCTGGCTCCTGGCTTTGGATCAGCTCAGCTCCAGTGGTTACAGCCATTTGGGGAGTGAACAAGTGGATGGAAGACTTCTCTTTCTCTCTCTCTCTCACACTCTGCCTCTGCCTCTCTGTAGCTCTGCCTTTCCAATAAATAAATAAATCTTCAAAAAAAAAAAAAAAGAAAGAAAGAAAGAAAAAGACCTCACATGTCCTGCCATCACCACCCCCTCTAGGACACAGAAGGAGCCGTCTGGGACGGGAGGAGGAAACGTGTGTATCCTGTGGCTGTTTCCCTTTGAAGGGCCATTCAGGATCAAACTCACCTGGAGGTGTGGCGAATGAACACTGGATCGGTCCTCAAGAAGCCCAGATTTTAGACCCAGCTGGAGCCAAGGTTTGCTGCGCGATCTTGGCAAGCTGCCAGAGCTGTTAAGCTTTTAATCGCTTCTAAGATTCCTTCCAGCTCTAAACATCTCTCTCATCAGCAGGGCCCACATTGGTTTTTCTTTTTTCTTTTTTTTTTTTTTCTCCTGCTTTCCGGAAACTCTGAGAGATGACAAACCTAGATAAGAGAGTTGCAGATGGCAGGAAGGCTTGGCTCTTGCCCCAGCATGGTATTCTTGGGCACATTTACTCATCTTCTCTGCCTCTGTTTATCCATCTGAGAAATGGACCCATGTTTGTAAGCGTAATGGAAATAAATGAGGTGATGTCCTTCTCCAGGTAGGCACAGTGTTTTGCACATGGGCAGTGCCTTCAGTGTTAATCATTTGCTTCTGTCCTTACTCCTGTCCTGGCTCTCCTTTGTATCAGGATTTGACACAGTGGCTAAGACGCTGCCTGGGACAAGGGCATCCCATAGCAGAGTGCCTGGGTTTTGAGTCCTGGCTTACTGATTCCAGCTTCCTGTTAAAGCACCAAGGCACCAGATAGCTCCGGTTCTCAGGTCCCTGCCACCACGTAGGAGAACTAGGTTCGGTTCCGGCTTTCAGGTAGCCCAGCCCTGGGTGTTGTGGGCATTTGCGGAGTGAAACAGTGGATGACAGCACTCACTCTCTTTCAGATAAAATGGCAACAATCAATAATGATGATACTTGATCACAGCACAGCCATGACCACAGAAGTCAAGCCCTCAGTGTGGATGGCGGGAAGCTGGGGAGCACAGGAATTTGTCGAGTAATGGATTCAGGATCCAGAAACACCCCAACCTGCTGGAGCAGTGGCCTAAACCTCACTAAGAGAAATGATCAGGGCTCAGCTGAGAGATCCGGGCTGGGCTCCAAGGCACCGACTGTACAGGACAGCGTGGAGAAGAGGCAGCTTAGCAGAAACACGTGTGAATAAAACTGAGGGTTTTCGCTGACAGCCAGCTCCATCTGAGTCAAATGACAGAGCTGCCAATAAAAGCGGACAGACTCTCAGGCTGCTGGATTGAAGTGGCGTGCCAAGCCCAGGCTCCATCTTGGTATCAGACGAGAATAATCTGCACGGCTCCGGCATCGCTGTGTCTCCCTTGCTGCACCCAGAGCCTCTGAAT